GGGAGACACAGGAGGGAGCTCGCCTGGCCCAGGCAGGGACCATCCCGTCACCCAGTCTGCCTGCCAGTCAGGCATGCTTCATCCTCACGAGGGGACAGCGTACCAAGCCATCCAGTCATCCATGAGGAAATGTCACCACACCATTGGCCCGCGCTGCAGAGAGAGCAGTGGGTGACGTGGGGCCATCCTGGGGCACTTAACCTGCTCAGGGAGGCGATCCTTGAGTGGGGCTCTGGAGGTTGGAGATTCCCAAGCCCTGGAGGTTGAAGGACAACAAAAGTCCTGGGGCATAACCAGGCCAAAGGGGGAGCAAGTGGCCGGAGCAGAGAAGATGCAGAGGAACAGAGTCTGCGAGTGCGGGGAGGCAGATGTGGCTGGGGTTTAGCTCCTGGCCCCCCACCCAACCCGGAGCTCTGGGAGGAGACACAGGGGCGTTGGGATCAGATCTGCATTTCAAAACCAGGTGTGGTCCGGCTGCAGAGACAGAAAGGAACCACAGTCCAGATGCTGGTCGCCTGGGATGGGCCAGTTGTAGCCCTGGGTACCTAAAGTCAACCGGGCTCAGAAGTCTCTCATGGTCACCCAAAGGAGTCTGGTGCCGAGCGAGATGTGGTTGGGGAGTGGGAGAGCCCCATCCAGGATGCACAGACAGGTGCGGGTGGATGATGGGTTTAGCCACTAAAACAGGACATGTGGGAGGAGACAGGGTTTGGGGGAAGATGTCAGGTTCCTTTTTAGACACGTGGAATCACTCCCCATTGAGTGAGTTCTCAGTGGAGCCCGCCGAGGCAGCGGGGAGCCCAGGCACCAAGAGAAATGGGAGCCCTGAGCCCTGGCTACGGCTGGGGCCAGCGACTCCAGCAGAGGAGTGGAAGGGGAAGGCGGCATCCCTCAGAGGCCAGGGAGGGGGGAGAGCCCAGAGAAGAGGGTGGGAGGCAGGAAGGCTGTTGAAAGCTATCAGGCAGGAGCATTTTAGGAAGACGGACACAGCCGAGAGCCTCCAACGCTATTCCCAGATCTGAGATATGGGACTGAAACTGAATACTGGACTTACACCACGGGGTCTTGGCGAGACATGACCACACCCCACCTCCCCTGTCCCCAGATGAACATGCGGCAAGGGGAGGCGACTTTCATCCAGGAACGCAGGGCTCGCGAGAACCGGCTCAATCAGCAGAAAAAGTTGATTGACAAGATCCACACGAAGGAGACCAACGAGAAGTACCGCCGGGTGAGTCCCCGTAGGACCCCCACTGCAGCATGAGAGACACTGGGTGGCTGCTCCCCAGCAGACGGCGCTGCTCACCTCATCCTCCCCTTCCCACCAGGGCCGGCGGGACCTGGACTTCCCCTCCAATCTGATGGGTACAGAGACCGTGAAAGGTGAGCGCTCAGCTCTCTGCCGCCCCCAGCCAGGGTCCCAAGAGGCCAGCAAGGGCTCAGGCCACCCAGTCAGGTCTCTGTAAGGCCAGGTGCACCTGCAGCGGCAGGGGCGAGGGAGACTCCCGCCTCTCCCGGCTCTACCTGCAGGGGCTGAGTGCCAACAGCCACGGCCCGCAGCCTTGGGCTCGCTGCCAGGTGTGGCCAGGACCCCAGCTTCTCCGCTGTCCCATGGTACCCCAGGGCTCCATCCCCCAGTGATTCCCCAGAAGGGACAAGTCCGGCCCCCTGGACCCTTGGGCTGCCGTTGAGAAGCACCGCAAAGCCCCCATACCAGGCTGTTTCTGGACAGAGTCGCCCTGGGGCACCCTGGAAGGGCCAGCTGGGGGGGGAGGCAGGACAAAAGTGCAGGCAGGTCTGATGAGTCCTGCCCAGCTCTCTGGCATGCACAGACGTGTTTGATGGCCTCGAGCCGAGCTCCCACGCTCTTCCTGAATGCTGGCCACCTTCCTCTCTGCTCTTACCAGTGAGAAAAAGAGAGACCTCCAAGGCGGACATCAAGTACCAGACAGATGTGACCGCTTTGGTGGAGAAAGTGAAGACAGCGGTGCGGTGCTCCCACCTCTGGGTACCTCTCCCTGGCTCTCCTGAGGGAGGGTGGGAGGCGAGGAGCCCCTGCCCCAGCCCAAGGCCTGGCTGAGCCTCCTGAACGAAGGGACACAGAGCCGCCGCCCCCACGGCTGAGAGTGGAGAGCGTGCCAGCGTCTCCAAGTCACTTGCCAACGGCTGCTCGGAGCCTGCTGGGATTCGAGGATCCAAGTGCCGAGACCCCCACCTACAATTCCATCCCTTCCCAAACCCCTAGGACATGAGAGGCCGCCTCTGCCTGGCCCTTCCATTTAACCTGATGTGGGTTTATCATCAGTAAGCCTTAGTTCCCGTCCTCGGCCCTGACGTGAGCTTGTCCATCCTCAGACAAGTGGCTCCGAGCGCAACAGTGTTTGAGGGGCGCTCTCCTGTCTCTGCCTTGGCCGTCTGCCCTCTCGGCTTGTGGTGTGGGTCCCATGCGCTGACCCGCAGAGAGCACTGGGCCCAGTGCCCGGCCACAGTCACTATCATCCCGACCATGGGGAGGCGCCCAGAAGAAACCAGTCCCGGTCTTGGGGGGGCTTGTGCCCACAGGGCCCACCGGGCCCACACCCGCTTGCCCCCACGTTGGCCTCACCAGGACATCGCTGGCCAGTTCCTGGCTCAGAGGAACACCGAGGAGAACCTGGAGCTGCAGACGGAGGACTGTGAGGGGCGGCGGGCGAAGCTGGAGGCTCTGATGAAGAAGCTGGAAGTGGAGCAGGCGATCCTGAAGTTCCGCGAGACGCCCGCCTCCGCCAGGTAGCCCGCCAGGCCCCGGGGCCCCCGACAACAGCCCACGTGCGCTGGGCCCGGCTCGGAGCCAAGAGCGTCCACTGTCGACGAGCCAGCAGGGACCTGGCAGGTGGACTGGGGGACCCCAGCCAAGGGGTGCCACACGCCCACGTCTGAATTCCGGAGTCCCTGAATTTAGCACAGCACCTGGCTCTGGGCGCCTTGGCCTGAAATCTCTGCCACCATCCTTCTCAACAGCTTCAAGTCCGTGGAGAAGAAAATGAAGGACATGCTAAGAGAAGAGGAAGACAGACTCCAGCTGGCCTACTCCAGCATGACCAAGAGCCAGAAACTGCTGCTGACCGTCCAGACAGGCATCGACAACCTCTTCATCCGGCTGATTGGCATTGCCCTACCCACAGCCCAGGTGCCAGCTGTGGGGGTGGGGGGTTGGAGCTGTCTGCAGAGGCCCTGGGAGAAGCCAGAGGAGAGACAGGACCCTCCTCCCGGCCCACAGAAAGAAGTGGCGCTCTCCGACAGCCTCGACATGTTCGGCAAGCTGGCTTACTGCGAAGCAAAGCTGCTGTACCTGGCCGACAGAGTGCAGACGCTGTCCATCACCGAGGAGGTAGCTGGAGGCTGGGCGTGCCCACCGGCCCCCATTCCCCTGGAGCTGACAGTCGCCTGTGCCCTGCAGGTTGACACAAAGGTGAGGGATACCCTAGAGACCTCGACTCTGAAGGAGAAGCACAACACCAGGGTCAGCTTTGAGGACCTGGAGGACGATATGATAGGTACAGCCTCGGGGCTACCCAGCCATGGGGAGGAAGGGAGGAACAAGTGGCAGATGGCTCCGTCTGACTGGGACAGCGTGGAGGCACAGGGCCCCGGGGTGGGGAGGGGGTGCAGTGCCACAAGGACTGAGAGGGTGTATGCCCCGCACCCACAGGATTATAATTTAGGGAAGTGACAGTGAGGAAACAGAGAGGCTGATGCCATTGAAAGGAGAATTTGTAACATTTCCTGAACATGTGGGAGCATCACTGCCTTGGGGGAGTCCAGAGAGGAGTGAGGGAACGGCCTAGGCCAGAGCCTTTCTTGGAGTTTCCGCAGGAAAGAGCAGGTGGAGGACAGGGAAAACAGCTTCCGATGGGCTGTCTGAGTAATGCTGGCGGGCTTGGGGTGCAGGAGCTGTTCCCAGTTGCCTGGTGCCCGACCCTGTGTTGATTTAGCGGGAGAATATTGGCTTAGTGAGAGAGTTTGATGAGGAAGGGGGTTGAGAGGGGCGCCTGGGTGGCTCAGTGGGTTAAGCCTCTGCCTTGGGCTCAGGTCTCTGGTCTCACGGTCCTGGCTCTCGGCGGGACGGGGAGCCTGCTTCACCCCGCCCCTGCCTGCCCATCTGCCTGCTTGTGATCTGTCTCTGTGTCAGATAAAGACTCTTAAAAAAAAAAGAAAAGGGGGCCGGGGGAGTGGGCTCTGAATCAGTCGGTTTGCAAGCGGCCAGCCTTCCGCCTCGGTAAGAATGGGCCCTCCGAGTGGCAGCCTCTGTCCCCAAGCCCGTAAGGCCCCTAATGCCAGCGCACCAGGAAGAGAGGAATTAAGAAAAAGTGGCCAGCCTGTGGCCCCGGGAGGCACGCGCGCTGACCGAGCCGGAGCGGAGGCGGGCGCCCTCCTCCTCGCCCTCCTTTCCAGAAACCTTCCAGTTCGCGGACGTGGACCACAGCTACGTGCCCTCGCGCGCCGAGATCAAGCGGCAGGCCCAGCGGCTGCTGGAGGGCCGGCTCAAGGCGGCCAAGAAGAAGAAGAAGTAGCCCCCGCCCCGGCCCCGCCGGCTCTTCGTTACACAAATAAACATTTTTCCAGGACGGCTGGGGACACCGGGGACGGCAGTCTCCGCACGAACCCGGCGGCCGCGGAAGTGGGGGTCACGCTGGGAGGCGGGCGGAAAAGTGGGATATTGGGTGTGGGTCCGGAGTTGAGGGGTGAGTCGGGGGTGGGCCCAGCGAGGACGCGGACGGGCGTGAGGCCCACCCCGAAAGCAGGGGGACAGCTCCGAGGACCGGCCGGCCGACGTGGCTCCGCTCCCACCGCCGCCCGCGCCCTCTCGCGCATGCGCGCGCCTTTGCGCTGCCGCCCGGCCAGGGCGCGCGACGCGCTCCTTAGCGCCAAGGGCGCATCGCTCGCGTGTCACCGCGCATGCGCGCGCCCTCTTGGCCCTCGCGGCGCCCCGTAGCCGCGCGCCTCGTCGAGCCAGCGCCAAGATGGCGGTTCTGACAAGCGAAGGGTGGCCGCGCCGGGGGTCGCTGGGGCCGGAGCGGAACCGCCGCGGCTGAGCCCCTGAGCCGCCCTCGAGGCAGGCGCCCGGCCGCCGGGACCCAGGACATGGTGCGATCCGCGCCGGGCCGCCGCCGCCGCCGCTGAGCTCGCGGGCCGCGCCGGGCTCGAACGTGGAGCGGGAAGATGTTTTCCGCGCTCAAGAAGCTGGTGGGGTCGGAGCAGGCTCCGGGCCGCGACAAGAATATCCCCGCCGGCCTGCAGTCCATGAACCAGGCGCTGCAGCGACGCTTCGCCAAAGGCGTGCAGTACAACAGTGAGTGCAGGCCGGCGCGCGGGCTTCCTGCCAGGGGGACGTGGGAAGTGGGGTCCGAGGGCTCGGGCGGAGGAGGGCGCTGCCCCGCGGGGTCCGCAGGCCCGGGCTCGGCCACTGGGACTTGGCAGAGACCAGGTCGCGGCCCGGACCCGGAAGCACGGGGGGCCGCGTCGCGCCCCGGGGCCTCGCGGTCTGCGGGTGGCTGTGGCAGGTCCTGTTCGTCTGTGGTGAAGATCTGCTGCGCCCTTACCTGTGGCGGGTACTCTAGGGGCCCTCACTTGGGGTCGAGAGTTGATGCTGGGCGGGAGATGAGGTCCTGGAGGACCCCAGGGGTGGAGGGCGGGCGCCTCGGGCCGCGGCGTTCCCCTCGGACCGCGGGGTCACTCCCGAGGCGCAGAGGCGCGGTGAGGATTCTGTGCGCTTCGCTTGCACGGTGCAGTGCGTCCAGGCGGTTCCTGGTGCGCTCGGCGTGGCCCTGATTGGCCCGGATAACCTCGCCTAAGGGCGATTCTTACATAACGTGGGGAGAGCTCTGTGGTCTGTGACGCTTGAGGGGCTGGGGGGGCTCCCCGTCGGAGAACCACGTGACAGCCTGCCCAGGAGCCCCGAGATCCAGCCGGCCCCGGTGGTGTGAGCGTTGGGGTTTTTCCTCGTAGGCTTCCTGTTCGGTTTGAAGGGAATGTCGTCTGCGCCACATATGTCTGCCCCACCCCCTCCCTTGTCTTAGGAGCGTTTGTAGGGGATATATTTGGAAAAAGCTCCAGAAGGCAGAAGGACTCTTACTTACTGTAGGAGACTTTTCTTCCCCTGAGGGAGGGAGCAGTTATTTTCAGCTGCCCCCAGAGCCCAGGACGTTTCCAGGCCTGTTATAAATTATGCAAACTGTGTAGCTCCTGGACGCTAACCGTTCTCTTGACCTCTTTTACGTTTTTTCTTCTCGCTGTCCTTTCCTAGCATTTTAAAAGCTTTTTATGTTGTTCTTGGCGTTTAAATTGTTCCCTTTCAAGTATTTTCATACGTTGCTACAAGATTTTGGACTCCTCCCTGCCGCTCCCTTTGCTACTTTAAGGGGAGCTTTTGGTCCCTGCGGTGACCTATTTAGTCAGTAATGCACAATACGAAGAAACTAATTAGGAGGATCTCTGTGCGGGTTTAGAAGAGAGATCGTTGTAGTTGTACTCGCCTCACAGTTTTGTATGTGTTTCTCTCACATTCAGAGAGGAGAATGGCAAGTCAAAATACTCTTGTGTACAAACCTGTAGGATCTACATTTGGAGTCCCTCATTCACTTTTATTACTTAACGGTATTGTTTTAAACTTGATCCTAGTCTTGTGGAATCAGAGCTGGAAACTGAATTTTTCACCTTCTGGAAAGCACTCCCCCAGAGGCACATTGCCTAGCCTTGGGTGGCAAAGAAGGGTGGGGGGGGGTGCGCAGTAGACTTATCCCAGAGAAGTAAACCCAGTCTCCAGTAGCTAGGAGGACAGGCTGGGATTCCCTAGGACTCCGGGAAAGGGGTGAGATGGAGAGAAGTTACATTAGAGGGAGGTTGTCTCTGTAGTTGGACAATATGCAGCTTTGAAACTTTCTGATACACTTTGCTTATTTTCCAAAATAGCTTACTTAGGAGAAATAAAGCAGCAATCTGAGGACTACAGATGCAGGACTTTGGTAGGAAAGAGCTGATGACGTCCAAGTGTAGATGCTGTTTCTTACAGATCCTTGTTCTCTTGGGGCAGACAAGTCGTCTCCTTTTAAATGGCTCTGATACTGAGAAGTGCTCAGGTCACATGCGGGAGCCCAGCATACACATCAAATTTAGAATCAAAATCTGAGTGGAGCCCTGGACCATAGTTATAGTTTGAAAGTTACTTGCATTCAAAGTGGAAGAGTGTTGCGTAACCTGGTCTATGCTTTCTACCATCACTGGACACAATTCTTCACCCTGTTTGGTGAAGAAGCCTTAACTGGGGCAACTTCCCAAGTGAGGAAGTACCAGCCCTAATGGAACTGGTCAGAAGTGCCCTTGCTCAGGCCGGCTTTCCTCACTCACAGAGAAAGCCTCCAGACGCTGGGACAGCCAGAGTCCTGGCCAGGTGGCTCTCAGCGCTAGAATTTAAAAATAGACTTAAGCACTCCTTCACTAAGAAACCTTTTGAAAGGTTGATTTCGGGATAAGAGAGCTTTTCCAGGGTAAGAAGGAAATAGCTTTAAGATTATATCAAGATTCTGTGAACAGACAAGTCATGTTTGAAAAAGAACCAAAGAGAACCTCTAGGAATGAAAACCACAGTCGTGAAAATCAAAGTCAGCAAACAGGTGAGGCAGCATAAGAACCAGACTAAGGAGAGAGTTGGTGCTGGAAGACAGATGTGCAAGCCCAGAAATGAAGCAGATTCCAACACACACCTGACGGGGCTTTCAGACAGAATAGCGAGAATGGGGAAGGAGCAGTATTGGAGGGAATGAAGACTGGGGATTTTCCAGAATTCATGAAATACGTGAAACTCCCAAGAAGTCCATGTCCAGAGTTTTTAAAAACCTACATAGCTAGACACATCATTAGACATTTTCGGAACATCGGGGCGCCTGGGTTGCTCAGTTGGTTGAGTGTCTGACTTGTGATCTTGGCTCAGGTCATGAGATCAAGCCCCATGCAGGGCCCTGTGCTCAGTGGGGAGGCTGCTTGAGATTCTCTCTCTCATCCTCCCTCTGCACTGCCCCCCCCGCCCCGCCATGAAGGAACAAACAGACAGCGTTCAGAGAGCCAGGCGTCCCTCTAGCTGAGACAACGCGGACGCAAGGGCGCTCAGCTTGCTTCCTGCACGTGGTAAACTCTGGTGCCGGACAGAGGAGGAAAGCACAAGAAGCGGGGTAGCCATCCAGTCCTGTCCGTGAGCACAGACCTAGTAACGTAGTGAGAGGTCAGGAAATGAGCCCTGGAAAAGCAGCAGAATATTAATAACAAATCATTGCACTGAGACCAAGTAGGACTCCCCAAGAATGCAGGGTTAGGAGAGACGGTAAAGTCTGTGCTTTACCGTGGATTAAAGGAGAAGCAGCATTATAACCTCAGTGGGTCCAAGAAACAGATGTGATAAAATTCAACACCCATTCATGATTTACAGAAAATGAGAGGAGGTTCAGATTTTATTTTTATTTATTTTTTAAAGATTTTATTTCTTTATTTGACAGAGACACAGCGAGAGAGGGAACACAAGCAGGGAGAATGGGAGAGGGAGAAGCAGGCTTCCCGCTGAGCAGGGAGCCCGACACGGGGCTCAATCCCAGGACCCTGGGATCAAGACCTGAGCCAAAGGCAGACGCTTAACGACTGAGCCACCAGGCGCCCCTAAGGTTTTCTTTTTAAGTAATCTCCACACCTAACATGGGGCTTGAACCCACGACTCTGAAATCAAGAGTCACATGCTCCACTGCCAGAGCCAGGTGGTTAGTGTGGCGGACGACAGGCAGAGGCCTTGTGATGAATGTGGCTCCAACCCAGACCTTAAAGGGGCCCCGGAGATAAAGTTCCAGGAGACAACGGGCTGCCGGTAGAAGATCAGGAAACGCCCAGCAAACATCAGACCTTGGCCTCTGAGGACGTCAGGTTTCAAAGAACGTCAAGTCGGTACACAGTCCGAAACACTGTGACAGCTTCGAGCGGTGGCAGATGGTGGCCGCCCTTAGGGCCGGGACCTCCGAGGGTGTGTGTACACAGATGAGCGTGTTGTACGCCGGAGGCTCACGCCATGTGTGGACGCTGCTTCGGTGGAAGTGGTCAGTATGCATGATATGTCCGAGAGATGAAAGAGGGCTTTGGTAAAAGCAGGAATTGGTACAAAAGGGCCAAGCAGATTTGAAAAGGAACCGCTCTGGAAAGCGAAGAAAAGGTAAGAAACTGCGGCCATGAAATGAGAACACGGCGCTGTAGCAGGCGGTACGCAGAGCACGAGGTGCGGCTCCTGCCGCGCCCAGGAAGGTCTGGGGGCTGGTGCTTTGTCCTGCCCTCAGCCTGGCCAGGGTTGTCTTGGGGACAGGAGCCTGCCACCCCCTGGGGGTCAGCTGCATGTGGTCTGTCCCCCTCATCCTCACTGAACGAGAGGCAGAGGCCCCGGCATCAGGGGACTCCCCTAGACCGGCATGCTTCCCGCAGGGGGTTCAGGCTCATGCCAGGGACCCAGGACCTCCCCACAGCTGCGCTTACAGCACAGACGTGTCACGCCCTGACCTGTCTCCCAGGTTCTCCTGGGTGTCTGGCTTCTGGCTGGAATCGAGTCTAGATTGCCCGGACCCTGGGGGCAGTGGCTGGGTGTGTTCTGTGTGTGGACATGACCGAGCAGGTGGAAGAAGGGCAGCCCCGAGGTCTGACCAGAGACGGTCTGAGTGCACGTCCTGAAGACGGAAGCTGGGACTCAGAGAGTGTGGGCTGGGCTGAGGAGGTTGATGCTGAGAGTCTCACGGGGAGAGTACTGAGTGTTCAAGAACAGAGGGGCTTTGGAGCACTTGGGGGTGCAAGGAGGGAAAAGCCAGCTGGCCGGGGGACCAGACAGGGCTCTAGGGCAGCTCCGCAGTGTCCTCGTCCAGCCCCAGGGCATGAAGTGCCATCCCCCAGCCCCAGGGCTGCTCCAGGTGGTCCAGGAGCCTGCAGCCCATCCCTCAGGCTGCCCATCTGCATGTCTTCTCAAGCCAGAACCTTCCCCGGGGTCCAGTCCATCACCATGGTCATCAGCCTTGCTCCCATCCTCTCCCCGCCCCCTGCCCGCCGGCTCTCCATGGCATTCCTGACTGCTCTTCGTCTTTCTAGAACAAACTGGACCATGGTACTCCTATACTAAATGCCACACCATCTCAGAGCTGGCAGGAAGACCGCACCCCTGCACGGTGCTGCAGGACTGGGCCCCCGCCTGCCCAGAGTCCGTGCACTCGGCTGCCTGTGGGCATGGTCACCGCCGGGGGCATGCACCCAGCTCCCAGGCCACTCCATAAATGTGTGCAGCAAGTAAAACGGAATTCTCCTTTGTGCCCTAACCCCGCCTGTGTGGCCTTGAACATGGTGGCGCTCTGCAGAACTGTGCTAAAAATACCAGGGCTGTGCGAAAGTAGGTTAGGAGCAAGCTACGGAAATCTAGGGAGCCGCCTAAGGAGAACGTCGGCCGCCCCCCAGCCCCTCCAGCAGCCTGACCGTGGCCCCGGGAGTCAGGAGTTCACAGGATGTCCGGCTCCAGGGGAGACCACTTTCCTGCAGGTGCAAAGTCTGAGTGGGCTGTGGCTCCGTCACCCCACGGCCTGGGGGAGATGCCTTCGGGGCCCCCCTCTGCAGAGCAGGGAGGGAGAGCTGAGGCCCGGGCTGGGGCCGCGACCCCTTGGGTGTCTCCCAGCAGCTCAGCCCTAGTGCCCTGCTCTTCCCTGCTCACAGGCCACGTAGGCCATGCTCTGTGCAAAAGCGAGCGTGTGTGGCCTGCGGCTCCCTTGCCAGAGTTCGAGTTCTCTGCCGGTCTGATTCGCTTCCCTGATCTGTCCTGTACCCTCAGTGAAGATTGTGATCCGCGGGGACAGGAACACGGGCAAGACCGCGTTGTGGCACCGGCTTCAGGGCAAGAACTTTGTGGAGGAGTACATCCCCACGCAGGAGATCCAGGTCACCAGCATCCACTGGAGCTACAAAAGTGAGGGCCGGCCGCGTGTGGCTGGTGTGGGGCGAGAGGCGGGGTTGGGGTGCAGGCACGGTGCCCCTCATGTGGGGCGGGGTGGGGGTGGCTCTCATGGATCCTCCCGCAGTCTGGCTCCTTGGAGACCCTGCCCCGGTGTCCCCAGCCGTGGTGCCATCAGGGAAACCCTGTAGGCGTGAGGGAACCTCCTTAAGCTCAGAGGCGCTATGATGGGGGCACTCGCTAGAGCTTCTCCTGGGTTGCTCTGAAACCACCCCCTCCCCGTGGGCAGACAAGGTGGCGAGGGAGGGTCCTCCAGGGCGGGAGCTGTGGCAAAGGCCCCCTCTCAATTCTAGAGACCACCAAAGGGCACAGAGTTCAGGTTTAACACGGGAGACATCTGGGGGAGTCTCCCTGCTGCCACCGGCCCTGGGCCCACACGTGCTCCACCAGCAGGAGGGACCCCTCAGTCCCTTTGACCCTTTGAGGCTTTCCCTCTGCAAGATCGCCTGATGGACAAAACGTGCCGTGTCCTGAAGCCCCACGGGCAGCGGACAGTTGCTTTGCATGTTCAGAAACCATGAAAGTAAAAGTCCTTTGAGCCATTTCAAACATACTTTTTACTGACAAAAAGATGTAGTTGTGAACAGGACACATGGGCCTGTAGAAGTTGTGACTCCCCCTGAGTGATGGCCCAGCCCCATCCCAGGACAGCTACACGGGCCAGCATCACCCTAGCTCACCAGCGGGGGCTGGCAGGGCCTTAGGGCAGGTCCCCCGGCACCCTTCCCAGTTGGGATAGTGGCAGCGTGCTTTTGTGCCCTCAGCTTGGGGACAGGTGCATGGCGGGTCTCCACCTGTCCCCTCAGAATCATGGGGATGGAGGGGTGAGCCCACTGTCCTCGTACTTGGACCCACCACCAGGAGCTATGGCACATGCCCTGGGCCCAGGCGGGCTGTTCACAGGGTCTGCTCCCTGGGTCCTGGCACCTGTCCCAGAGAACCGCCAAGGAGGGTCTAAGAGTCTCCTCCCTGTGAAGAGTGAGCAGAGCGCGAAAAGACAGGTGGTTCTGAGAAGGCCAGGCGGTGAGCCGTCCTGACGGCCTGCGGGGGTGCCCGCCTCCCAGCAGGGGCCTGTGCCCAGCCGGCCGCTCCAGAGGCTTCAGTGGAAGCTCAGTGCTGCGCAGCCAGCTAGAGGGGGCTGATGTCCTGTGAACAAACTTGAGTCTGGTCACTGGATAAGAGTCAGGCCCATTGAGGCCTGTCCCTGCACCCGGAGCCTGCTCCCCAGGTGCCCCTGCAGAGGTGACCTTAGCTGTTGGACCTGGCTGGGGACAAGCCCACCCCAGAAACACCTGCAGGAAACTGGGAGACTGTCAGCTGCGGGCAGGCCTGAGCAGAAGCCTAGCACAGGACGGCGCCTTGTTGCCCTCCAGGGAGGGAGGCCATGGCTGCAAAGGCCGCACGTGGGAGCAGGGTGTCCTTGGCCAAGGTGCTGAGGGAGGAGCCTGAGGTCTCCTGGTGGGGGACCCACGCTGGAAGAGTGGGACCACACAGCAGCACCTGGACAGCCCCTAAGAGCCCAGGTGTGACCAGAAGGCCAAAGGTCACGTTGGACACTAATCTTCACGTCTCTCCCTATTTTAGCCACTGACGATATCGTGAAGGTTGAAGTCTGGGACGTGGTTGACAAAGGTAAGTCCTGTCTGCATCATGAGTCCTTTTTCCCGATGCTTTATGCCCTCTGTGAGCAGAAGCCCTCCTTGCCGCCTCCCCCCCCCAGTGTGGCCACTGTGTCGGCGCGTGTCCTGGCGTCTCCAGCACGCAGGTCTCTGCGTTCCCATCACACTGGCTGTGGACGCTGAGCGTGCGACCAGAAGGGCCGCTCGCCAGAGCAGCGCGGGGCTGTCAGAGCTCTGGGCCTGGGAGCCGCTCCCTCCTGCATCCGGGGTGGCGGGGGCTGGACGCCCAGTAGCGAGCCGGCAGGACCGCAGCCTCCGCCGTTCAGAAGCGTGTTCCACCCGCAGAGGCAGCACACGGCAGAGGGGCGCGGACCGGGTACAGCTGGGCCCCCCCCCCCCCCCCCCCCGCCCAGAGCCGAGGACCAGCTTGTGGGCTTCCGAAGCCACCCCCCACCCCCAGGGGCCACGTGCCCCTCGGACTGCTCCACTCAGGCTGCGGAGTCTCCGCTCCCATGGGGAAGCCCTGGGCCTCTGGGCCCGGCCCATGTGCGCCTGGCGGTGAGGGGCACACGGCCCCCTTCGGCCCCTCCTACTCCCTCTTCACTCTCGGGCCTTGAGCCCGTGTTCCTCCAGGTGCACAGTGCGGCCCCCTGTGCTGCTGAGTGCGCTCTGACCTCCGACCTCTGACCTGGGAGGCTTGCTGTCACTGCATGTCCTCCAGTGAGAAAGGAGACGTGGTTGCTGGTGCAGAATGTGCCCACCCCTGCCCTCCCCGTGTTCTTGGGAGGCGGGTTTAGGTTCCCAGGACTGGTGGAGCGGCTGCCGCTGGGACGCCTTCAGCCCGTGGGGGCCTATGGGGGCCTCGTGCTCCAGACCTGGGCCCGCAGCGCTCTGCGGCCTGGTTACTGTTGTGGTTTGAGGGGAAGCCTCCGTGCCCTGGGGGCCCCCCCTCCTGGAGCACTGCCCGCCCCCTTCCCGGCCTCAGCTCCATCAGTTGGGGTGGGATACAGGTTTCCAGAGTGGAGTCCATACCTGGGGGACAGGGCCCCTTCCGGTGAGCGTGTGCCGTTGTCCCTGCTGGGAAGTGTCCCGCAGTACACCGGAGATGCAGCTCGCCCCACGGGTCATGGGTGCGCCCGCTCCATGCCTGTGGAGGCACAAAGCCCACACGCCACGTGTGGGGATGGCAGGGGCTGGGATCCCTTGGCCTGGCAGTGTACAGTGTCCCACTGAGGCGCGGAGAGGGCCAGGGGCAGGGTGGCACCGCAGCAGAAGGTCCCAGGCTTGTGTGTGAGCACGCAGTGAGCCACCTAGTCCCCTCCAGTGAGACAGAAAAGCCCCCGCTCCAGCCGCTCGCCTGCTGGGCAGGGTCTGAGCTCCACGCACAGCAGCAGAGGTGTGGCAGCTGAGGCTCAGGTCCTGGTGGACAGCGGGAAAGGGGGCACGGAGGCGAGGCCCAGTGAGTCTTGAGAACCTGCTTGTGGGGGGCACCCCAAAAAGAGAGGGCCCTGGGGAGCAGTCTCACTTCGCCCAGGCAGCGGTAGCCCCCTGAGATGGTGGGTGGCACTGGAGGCCCTGTGGCCCCGGAGCAGGCTGCTGACCTAGGACAGCCCCAGAGGGCTGAGAGTGTCAGAAACGAATGCAGTTGTTGCGGGGAAGGGAGGGCTTTCTTACTTTGCCCAGGCCATTCCTCAGACTGAGGGACCCTGGAATTCCCAAGGTGACAGACAGTCCTTCCTCCCTGCTTGGAAATATCTCAGAGCCCAAGGGCAGGGAGTACAGGGTTTGGAGCCCTTTATCCTCAGGAACCGCTAGAGCTGCCCAGGGCCTCAGCCCAGCCCAGGAAGCCTCTGTGGCCCCACAGGCAGCACCTGGGAGACTGGGCTGGGCTAGCCTGTGCCAGCGAGGGAAGGAAGTGCCCACGTTTGAATCAGGGCTGGCTCGTTGATCACCCCGCTGAGCCCTGCTGGGCACCTTCCGGTTTAGGCCGAGCTGTTGGAACCCGTCAGGGCCTCTCTCCGGGGGTCCCGGTGGGGCTGTGGCTCCTTCCTCCACCAGCAGGGTTGCTCCAGCACCAGCTGTGTGGCCGGGGCGCCCCATTAGACAGGTATGGTGCCTGCTGGAGCCGGGAGCGGGACAGTGGGGGGAATTGTTCCCTCTGGGGCTACGATTCCCCCTGTAACTGTCTTCTGTCTTCTAACAAGGGAAGTCCAGGAGGCGAGGGGATGGCTTGAAGGTGGAGAACGACCCCCAGGAGGTGGGTAAGCTGCGTCCCCTGCCCCCGTGGGGCCCACCGTTCCAGGTGAGGGTTGGGACCGCCCCAGGACTCTAGTTGGACCAGCTGGCCCCACTGCTTAAGGGGGGGGGGGGTGCTGTGTTGCCCACAGGTGTATTTTGGGATGGCTGGGCTTGCCTGAGCTGTTATCGGGGACACCTGCCAGGCCCCGTAATGAGTTTCACCTGAGAGGTATTTAGGTGCACGGGCCCAGTTCTGTAGCCCCAGGCACAGGGGCATGAGTGTGGCCTGAATGAGCTCTGCTGGCAGCCCCCACCCCAACATGAAGTCTGAGGCAGATGGACCCCCCTTCCATTCCAGGGGAGCTTTCCCATTGTTTTCCAAGGACCCTGCTCTCTGGGTCCTCCTGCCTGTAGACAGTCTCAGGGTGGTGGGCAGCCTCCTTGCTCCCCTTTAGGGCAGGAAAGTTGGGTGACTGCCTGGTCCAGGTCTGTCTGGCCCTTTCTGGGACACTGTGCTACTACCACCACATTACAGCCACACCTGTCTGTGTGCTCTAGAAGGTTCTCTGCCCGCATCTTCCCCCGGTCTGGATGCGCTTGTTGCAGTGGGGTGGTGGCTGCTCCAGCGCTCTTGTCCCTCTGAGTGCTAGAAGGCTCCTGTGGCTCACAAGGAGGCTGCGGTAGGCTGCTGGAGAAAGCCCCAGGTCAGGGGCGAGGTCAGGGGTGGAGTTGCTGCGGCCCCGAGCCTGGGCTCTTTACTGCTGCAGACCCTTCTAGGGTCAGTTTTCTGACTCCGACTCTCGATGATCTCCTTTACGTATTTTTTGCCAAAATGAAAATAGCCATCACCTTCTGGACTGTGCTTTTCAGCCTTCCCAGGAGATAGGGCTCAGCTGTGGCAGCCTGCCCCGGGCACCATCTCATGCCGGTTGTGTCCCGTCCTTAGGCAGAGTCCGAGATGGCCCTGGACGCCGAGTTCCTGGATGTGTACAAGAACTGTAACGGCGTGGTCATGATGTTCGACATCACCAAGCAGTGGTAAGGGGGCGCGGCTGGAAATAGCCCTTGAGGCCCATGGTGACGTGCCACCTGGAGGGCCGCCCCTGCTGTCCAGCCGGTCAGAGTGACACCAGCATCAGTGCCGGTGCCGGATAATTCCAGGCTATCCATGGACATCGTGCACACCAGCAGCTCAGCCGCATGGAAGCCGTGCCTGGCCGTCTCTGGGCATGTCCATGAGCACAGAGCGGGAGCATGTGCAGGGCGGGCTGGGCTGGGACAGCACAGGGGCGGGGGGGTGCACACCTTCCACAGCCCATAACCCTTCCTGAAAGTACCACGCAACATTTGGCAAAATCAAGTGGCCATTAGTTTGGGGTTCCCTAAGACATCCCTGACATTCTTTGACTGAGGGGACACAGAGCTCAGATCCCAGGGAAAGACTACAGAGCAAGCTGCAGGGATGAATGAGGGGGCAGCCCAGTGCCAGCTCCCAAGGGGCCCCTCCTTGTGAAGTTACACGGGCAGCATGACACACAGGAAGTGCCGTCTCCTAGGGCAGACAGGGACACTCGATTCCCCAGGCCTGCCTGGCGCCAGCGCTCCCGCCTCCCAGAAGCAAGGCAGGGGAGCCGCTCCTACAGGGTGGGGAGGGGGCACTGTGGGCAGAGAGCACCAGGAGCCCCGGCCCAACAGCCACCCAGGGCCAGCCTTCCTGCAGGCCTGTCCAGGAACAGTCGGGCCTGCCCTGTGGACGCTCTGGGGCGCACTGCCGGAGCAGGTGTCTTACAGAATGCCGGGGGAGGAACGGACAGCAGCCTCTGTGGAAACGGCCTGTGGGGCCTTCATTCCATTGTCACTGTTTTTAAATGTTTATGATTCTTGCGTACGTAGCCCACGTTCCCCGTCGCACACTCGGTCCTGCCGTCAGACGCTGCGCTGTGTCGCTGGCGGGATCCAGCCAGGTTTTCCCCGGGACGCTCCGTCTTCAGAGCTCTGGGGTCTTACTGCCGGCTGTGTGGAATCCATTCGCGCACGGGGGCCCGACAGGGCCTCCCACCAGCCCTCCTGGCACGAAGGGACGCACACCTGGGTGCCTCCCGTCGTGGGGCGCCCGGTAGCTCGTGCAGGAGAGGCCCCGGGGTGGCGGCAGGCGCACCGGAAGCGCGCAGGGCGGGGTGGGGCGGCCCCGGTGGTGCAGACGTGCCCGTGAGAGGCAGCCAGGCGTGTCTGCTGGGCACACCGCAGCGTCCCTTCCGCCCAGGGGACCGGAGGTGGCTTTCCTGCATGCGGTCTGTAGAGACCCTGCTAGTGGCCTCGCAGTTTCGGGCAGGCCCTCGGTGTCAGGGGAGCCTGCAACCTTCGCCGACAGCAGGAGGCCGGCACGGGGTGCCCGCTGCGAGGTGCGCGGGGGCCGCAGGGAGGAGCGGCAGGCGCCGGTCTGGAGAAGCGAGGGCGGACCCGGGTCCCCGCGCTGGCTGGCGCTCAGGTGCTGGGCCAGAGGGAGCTTGGAGGCCAGGGACTGAGCAGCAGCACACTCCATGCAGGCGGCGCCCTCTGTCTATGCTGCGGCCGAGGAGAACAGCTCCACTGACCCCCCGCACTGACCCCCTCGTGGGTCAGCTGGCATTCGCAGGGGACAGTGCGGGCCAAAACGAGGCGTGAGCTGCTGGGCCCTGGGGGGGCAGAAGAAATGGTAGAGACAGGGCCGGAGGGCAGACACCCCTGGCCCTTTGTTAACACTCCCAGGGAGGCGTGGGAGTCAGAAACAGTCCGGCTTGCTGCCTGGGTGTGCGAGTCTGTGGTTCCCGCTGCAGCCTCTGGGTCGGAGGCACGGCGCTCACTCCCTCGCACGCCATCTGGGAGCCCGGGCCTGGAGAGCAAGGCTGTGACTCCGTAAAGGCACCCCTTGGAGCCCCGCGGGCTGCAGCTGTGTTCCACAGGGACGGTGCAAAGACCCCTTGCCTCAGGGACCCCCGCAGGCAGGGAACTGGGGAGAAAACTGCAGAAGCAAGGCCTGTTCTGGAGGGTGTGGGCACTCGGCCCTTGTGCTCCATGCACCCGGCGTCCTGGGCTCAGGACATGTGACACAGTGGGGTGTGGGTCTTGAGGTTGACACTAAGGAGGTCTCTCCTTGCCTGTGCCTCCTAAGGACCTTCAACTACATCCTGCGGGAGCTTCCCAAGGTGCCGACGCACGTGCCAGTGTGTGTGCTGGGGAACTACCGCGACATGGGCGAGCACCGAGTCATCCTGCCTGATGACGTGCGTGACTTTATCGACAACCTGGACAGGTGGGTGGGGCAGCCCACGTGGGGGATGCACCCCTGCCGGCCCAGCTCCAGTGGCCCCCGGGCTGGGAGCCATGCTGTGGGCAGTGAGGGTCCAGCAGGAGGACCTGGGACCAAGGACAGCAGAACGAAGTGTTGGCGGCTGGCTTCCTGGCACCCGGCAGGCCTGCGGGGGCAGGGGGTGCCAGGGGTCGGGCTGATGCAGTGAGGTCCCTGCCTCTGCACAAGTCCCGGCTGGGTCACCTGCTGGGCCCTCAGGCGTGGCCCTGGGGCCGCGGGAGTGCTGGCTTTAGCCTGTGGCGGGGGAGGTGCCGGCATCAGGAGCAGCCTGGTCCAGGTGTGGCCCTTGGCCTGGAGGGACTGCGCCCTGCGGCCCACCACTAGCCACCTCCACCTCAAGCCACGTGTTCCTTTTGCAAACAGGCCTCCAGGCTCCTCGTACTTCCGCTACGCCGAGTCCTCCATGAAGAACAGCTTCGGCCTAAAGTATCTGCACAAATTCTTCAATATTCCGTTTCTGCAGCTTCAGGTGAGCGTCGGCGGGTAGGCGGCACAGGGTTCTCCGGGACCCGTCTGGGGCTGGCGGCCCCAGGATGGCCCCTCCATCCCCTCCCCTCTGCCAGGCCAGCCTGAGACCCAGGGATCCCTTAGGTGCCCCTTTGGGCCATTTCTGACCAACAGGGCAGGAACCGGAGGCCTAGACGTGTGGGTGACTCGGGCCTGCACCGACTCCTGCTATCACGCCCTTGTGCTCGTCGGTCTTCCCCGTGGGAGTATCCTGGGTTCCTGGGGTGTGTGGCTGCAGGGGGAGCCCACCACGTTGTCCTCTCCGGCTGTGTAGGCGCAGAGCCCGGCGACCACGCCCACTCTGGGGAGCGATTCTGGGTGTACAGAGGAGGCAGAGAGGTGGTGCCGGGGGCCTCTGGGCCCCTCGCTCCACTTCCCCTGGTGGCAGTCTCTGGTTTCCCCGGCGCTGCTCTCCAGACCACAGAAGCAGTGTTGGTGCCCTGACGCAGGGTTGTCCTCCCGTGTCCCTCGCAGGCCTGGCCCCACCTCATGTGGAGCGTTGGGCTGAGCCTGCTCTGGGCTGGGAGAGCATCTCAGGGAGCCCCACCCGGGTTTGTCCGACGGGAGACCAGGTCTTGGGCTTCCAGGGGCAAAACCAGAGGTGGCCGCCTTTTTCATCACATTGGAACGTGGGCGTGTAACATCGTGGCATTGTGTACGTGGCCCCTCTGTGGCCCAGTGGCCGCCACGCCTCCTCCAGGCTGTGTAGGCCAGCTGGGGAGTGTGGTGGCCTTCCTGCCCTTTTTCTCTCTGGAGGGCAATGGGTGCCCCGCAGACAGGGTGCGTGGTGGAGGTTTCAGCTGGAAGGCAGGCCGGTACAGGCAGACTCCTTGGGGGTGGCGGTGGCCGCTGCACCCCGCTCTTGCCCTCAGGACCGTGCGTGTCGCACACGTCCCTTTTACTGATCCCTGGAGCTTCCTGTCCATGCACAACAAGCACCCAGACCCCGAGAGAAACACCCAGAGTTTCCTGTACCCGGCAGTCAGCACCGCACGTCACTGGAGGAAGCCAAGCGGCTCGTGGGTGGCAGGTGTGGCTGATGCCCGTGGAGAGGTGTGTGCCGGAGCTCGGAGTGCACAGGGACACAGCGGAAGCCTGGTGTTAGGCCGTCAGAGCCACAGGGGCTTCTGGGGCACCGTGTGTGGACGGGGCGCCGTGTCTCTGGGTGTCGCTCACGTCCTTGACCCTGTCCTCAGAGCCTCACCGAGCTGCGGGAGTGGCCCGCTAGCCGCTGGGTCGTCCATCGAGGGCTGGCCAAGTGGGGACACAGGCTGAAGGGGTCTCTGCTTCGTCCTCTAGCGAGAGACACTGCTCCGGCAGCTGGAGACGAACCAGCTGGATGTGGACGCCACGCTGGAGGAGTTGTCAGTGCAGCAGGAGACGGAGGACCAGAACTACGACATGTGCGCACCCGCCGGCTCTGTGGGAGGGACAGCCTCCCTCTGGACGCCTGGAGCTCAGGCCTCACCAGCCAGCAGTGCCGAGCGCCTCCCTCCTGGGCGGACACGACAGCCTGAGTGGATCACGTCGCTCCAAGAAACCTGAGTCATCTCAGTCTGGATGCGGCGGTGGGAGGGACGGGAGCGCAGGCAGGGGAGCTGTGTCACCGTCAGCAGGGCGCTCGTCCGGAACAGGCGGCTGCTCTTGTGCGAGGGGCCCCCTCCCAGGGGAGCAGACCAGCGGCCCCTCTGGGTACTCCCTGGGGCCCACAGAGCACCTCGGGGCCTTTTTTTTTTTAAAGATTTTATTTATTTATTTGACAGACAGAGATCACAAGCAGGCAGAGAGGCAGGCAGAGAGAGAGAGGAGGAAGCAGGCTCCCCGCTGAGCAGAGAGCCCGATGCGGGGCTCGATCCCAGGACCCTGGGATCATGACCCGAGCCGAAGGCAGAGGCTTTAACCCACTGAGCCACCCAGGCGCCCCACCTCGGGGCCTTTTTAAATTGACCTGACCAAATCCCAGGGGCTCCAAGCTGACGGGCGTCCCTGAGGCCCAGCCAGCCATCTGTGTTCCAGAGGTGGTCACTGTGCTGGTGCCACTGACCCAGGACAAGTGTTAGCCCGAGGCCCTGCTGAGACTGGTTGGCCTCATGTTTCCTGACTCAGGCTGCCATGGTTGGGAGGTCAATTTCCCCAACTATAGAGTAGGTCCTCAGAGAGCTCCTTGACCTTGGGAGAGGCTGGTGGTGCTGAAGAGTGGGGGGGTAGGAATGGAACCTTCCGGTCCTTGGTAGCGGAGGGAGGGAGGCTCCTGGTCACACCAGCGCACTGCCAACAACGGCTGTGTGGGTGACGAGCAGCCCTCAGGCAAGCCCTGCTGCCGCCCACTCCAGGGGCTCTGGTGGCCACCCCCGCGGCTCCTGGGAGAGGCTCCTGCTGTGTCAGGAGGGGGTGACCATGAACTATCCCTCAACCCCGGCGCTTCCATTCTGTTTAGTTCCCACAGAAAGCACCTGAGTGCCACCACTGCCCACGCTCATGTCCTGGGCACGCTGGCTCCCCCAGCATGTGTCTGTCCCCACAGGGACTCACAGGAGGGCCTCTGGGTCTCCCCAGAGCCACGTCCATGTGTTGGTCCTGGACCTAGCCAGAGTGGTTCTGGGGGAATTTAGGCTGCTTGGCTGGTTCCAGGGTGAGCCCCACGCTGGGGGGGGGGGGGGCAGCTGCCTTGCTGTGGAGCTCCTTCTGGGGTTGATTGGCTGAGCCAGAGCTCGGGAACCCAGCACTGCCCACTCAGTGCGTTGCCCCCAGGGGAGACGGCGGCCGGAGCCTGCCCTCCACGTGCGCCCCACAGCCAGCCCTGGGGGCTTGACATTGCCGTCTCTGTGAGCTCTCTCCTGTGAAAACACGGGACCAGCCAGAGACCTAGGGCAGGGCTGGGCTCCACCCTCGGCCTGCCGTCCTTCTCACTCCACCACTAAGTCCTAGCTTGGGGGGTGCACACGGTGGCCGGCCCCCCTCCTTTGTCGGTCCCCAGGGAGCCTGGGCAGCGAACAGGGCACCTGTTTGTTATACACCTTCCGTCGGAAAGCCCGCCCCACGGACAGTGGGTCTTGTCACCGAGGCCCTCAGCACGGCAGGTCCTGTGCCTGCTGACGGGTGGAGAGCCCCGGGTGTGGGTGTGGGGCCAAGCCTGCCTGTCGCTCTCGCCAGTCCCTTCCCTCGTGGGACCCTCTGCTTGACGCTCGGGCGTGAGAGCCAGTGAGCCCGAGGGCCAGGACACGGTCACCCTCATCTCAGAGGAGGAGACTTCAAGGAAGGCGGACTGCTCACTGCCTGCTCTGTGTCCCCCCAGCTTCCTTGAGATGATGGAGGCACGCAGCCGTGGCCACGCGTCCCCGTTGGCAGCCAATGGGCAGAGCCCATCCTCAGGCTCCCAGTCTCCAGTGGTGCCTCCCAGCGCCGTGTCCACAGGGAGCTCCAGCCCCAGCACGCCCCAGCCAGCCCCGCAGCTGCCCCTCCACACCACCTCGGCCTGCCCCTGCCCCCCACCCCCCACAGAGGCCCCACTGCCCCCTGCAGCCCCTGCCCCGAGGCGCAGCATCATCTCCAGGCTGTTTGGGACCTCACCAGCGGCTGAAGCAGCCCCTTCGCCCCCAGGTGAGCCCCAGGAGCAGCTCTTGGGGAAGGGGGTATGGGTGGCCCAAGCAGTGGAGTGCCCTGTCTCACTGGTCCCTTGAGCTTGTAAACCGCGGCAGGGCCGACCTCCTTCCTCCTGGGCAGGCAGCCCCACAGCCCAGTCCCATGGGTACCACCCGGGATGGGCCCGGCGGGGGTGGGCACTGGACACGTGGGAAGCAGCCTCTCGTCCCCAGAGCCAGCCCCTGCTGCAGAGGCCCCAGCCAAAGTCCAGAACGTGGAGGATTTCGTTCCTGAAGAAAGCCTTGACCGAAGCTTCCTGGATGACGCGGCCCCCCAGGAGGATGAGAAGAAAGTCGGAGCCAAGATCCTACAAGACAGTGACAGGTAAGAGCAGAGGCCAGGTGGGTCCCCGGTCCTCCCCGCACCCCCAGCCCTGGGTGAGCCGAGGGGGCGGGCCCCACCAGATTGGCAGCCTCTCAGAGGGAAGGGCTCCCTGAAGCCCCCTGCCCAGAGGGAGCTGGGAGAGCGAGGCTGGCCTGACCCCACGTGTTGGTGCCCACGACTCACTGTTAGCAGCTGCTGGGCTGAAAGCATATGAGAGCATGGGCACTGGCAGGAGCCCCGGGGCCTCCCCGTGACGTTGGGCAGACGGGGTGGCTCAGGCTGGGCCTCCTGCCTCCGCTCACCCCTCACCAGCTCCCGGGCCTCCCCATGGGCTCCCCAACACCCTGTGGAAGCCAGGTCAGACCTGCTAATCCCCGCATCCCTGGGTCCCTCCAGAAATGCAAACAGTGGAACAGAGCCCAGCCCCAGGCTCCTCCCCCAGTACCAGAAACATCCCCAGCCCATCCACACCCACGCCCCGCACCCCACCATCAGTCAGGACGGCACCCCCTTCCCACATCAACAGAACGAGCCCCACTGTGGCTTCCTGCTGTCCTCCTGGGCCCCCACCTCACACCCCCTGCCCCCCTCGCTGGCCTGTCCCACTGACCAGTGGGCTCCTTTACGGAGGGGCCCCCAAGACCTAGACCGCCCTTGCAGCAGGCCCCCGTTGTCCTCCCACTAATGTTGAGTGCCAAGGGTAGGGCTGCCCCTCGGTCAGTGCCCACGCTGGGCACAGAGAGGACATCTGGCGTCTGTGGTGCCAGGGGTCTGAAGCGCAGGGTAGGCAGCTGGGCTCTCTGTACCCCCCGGTGACCTCTGACCGCCCTGCCCCCTGCCCTGCAGCGACGGGGAGGTCTCAGGCGGGAACCCGCTGGTGGCAGGTTTCCAGGATGATGTGGATGTTGAAGATAAGCCACCCAGCAGGCCACTGCTGCCCACAGGCCCCGTCCCCAAGGACAACATCACTTCTTCCAGTGAGGAGGAAGCACAGGAGGTGGCAGGGCCCCCCAAGGCCACTGTCCTGGCCCCCCAGAAGCACCCAGAGCCAGAGACCAAACGGTATGTGGATGGGATCCAACCCGGGGCGGTGGGGGCACAGCCAGGAGCCCCCTGACCTCTTCCTTGTCCCCAAGGCCCTCCACAAAGGCCGTGAGGCTACACAGGGACGCAGCTCCCAGGGCGGTGGAGTCCCGCCGACCAGGTGTCCACAGGTCCCCCGCCGAGGACCCCACTGGAGGGCGTGAGCAGGGGAAGGATGAGCAGGCGGCTTCTTCAGAGAGTGACCCTGAGGGGCCCATCGCCGCCCAGATGCTGTCCTTCGTCATGGACGACCCTGACTTCGAGAGCGACTCGGACCCTCAGCGGAGAGCGGTAAGGAGGGGATGTGCCACCCGCTCGGCCTGGAGGCCCTGGGGACGGTTTTGGGTGGCAACGGCAGGAAGGAGAAAGTGCCCAGCGACATCTTCCTGGGGCAGGAGCCTCCGATCAGCGTGTGACACCCGGGAGGTGCTACAGTATCCTGGCTGTCACAGTGGACCCTGCTGGCCACCCTGACCCCAAGTTGGGTGTCCAGGGCTCTCAAGGCGGCTTGTCACTTGCCAGCGGGTCACACGCTGCAGGGCGCTGGGGAGGGCGCCGGCTGCTCAGGCTGCCTGCTCCTTCTCCAGGAGGAGTTCCCAGTGCGAGAGGACCTCTCTGATGGGACGGACGAGGATGCTGGTCCCGCCCTGCCACCCCAGCCCCCCAAGCCCCCCGTGTCCTCCTTCAGACTGAAGAATGACTCAGACCTCTTTGGGTTGGGACCGGTGGAAGCAGGCCGCAAGGAGATCAGCGATGAAGGTAGTTTGGGGGCCTGGGGGGGGTTGTGGGTCACGGGGTGCGTGCCAGGACCATGCTGGAAAGATGGGCAGCAGGGGGCACCTGGCCGAGTATCTGCACAGGTGGCATTTGGTGGCCTCGCAGCACGGCTGCAAGTGGGATGGACTTGGGAGTCCTGCCACCTCGGGGAGGAGTTTCACGGCCAGCGGGCCCGTGGAGCACCCGCGGTGCTGTGGAGCCCCAGGCAGCTGCACGGCTCCCTGTCCCCTTCCCCGCCCTCTCCTGAGCTCCTTAAACCCAGCTTCGGCCGACCAGCTGGGTCACATGAGACGTGTCCCAAAGGTTTCTTGTCCCCAGAACGGAGAGGCAAGGGCCCCCCCTCCCCCCCCCAGGCTCGTGCTAGGGTGAGGTGTGTCTGCCTGGCTGGTCCCCTACGGGTCGCCGCAGCGTCGCCGAGGTGCGCCTTCTGGCCTCTGTGCACCAGTGACAAGGACGGGCCCCGCTGCCCACTGGCCAGCCAGGGAGTCACAGGCCCATGCTGTGTCTTTTCTCTGCAGATAAGGAGGGTAGGCCTCCCACAAAAGAAAAGAAAAAGAAAAAGAAGAAAAGCAAAGAGGTAGGCGCCCTGCCTCCCACCTCCCACGTGCCCACGGGGCAGCGTGGGGCCCTGGTGCCCCCACAACCTGACGTGCCCCCTTCCCAGGAGGAAGAAAAGGCCGCGAGGAAGAGGAGCAAGCGTAAGAGCAGGGACAGGGAGGAGGGCAGGCAGGAGCGGCGGCGGCGGCCCAGGGCCCCGGAGAGGACGGCGGTGGACGAGCTGGAGGCCTTCCTGGGGGGTGCAGCCCCAGGCGGTCACCTCCTCGGGGGCGGGGACTACGAGGAGCTGTAGGCCTAGCACCGCTGACTGACTGCTGGGGTGCCCCGGAGGGCGACAGGCACACTCCATGCTGGCGGGGGTGCTGTGGGGATGGGGCCCACTGTGCAGGGAGGGGGCCTGTGGGCGGGGTTCTGCGGGCAGCCGGCCCCCAGCGCTTCTCAGGGATGGGACTGAGGCCCAGGAGGCCGCAGGGCTGTTTACAGGGCGGGGCCCGTCCTCGTCACTGGCCTGGCTCCCACTTGCCCCCAGCCCGCTGCACTCGCTGTCCCAGCCCCCCACACCTGAGTGGGCTCCGCTTCCTGCCCCTTCTGGCATGGGGGGCAGACGCCAGGCAGCACTGGCACCTTTCCCGGGGTTGGCCCTCCCCCGGGGCCCAGGGGCCAGCTCTGCACCTGCGCTGGGCTTGCTGCTGACCAGGCCGGGAGGTCCTCACACACTGTTTGCTCTCGTTTTCCTCCGACGCTCCACTCCGACCATAAAGCTCTCCTGTTTTACTGTGTGTCTGTGTTGCTTCTCCCTGTACACGGCTCCTGCCCCAGCCCATCTGTCCCAGGTCGCCCTGGGTGGGCGGGTGGGAAGGTCCTGAGTTCCCTGCCTCCCCCAGAGAGGCAGCTGTCCCTGGATAGGAGGCCCAGGGAGGGGGTCCAAAGAGGCCTTCCCAGCAGGCCCAGCCCCAGGTGTGCCTTGCCTCCTGCAGGCTGGCCGACCTGGCCATTGTCTTGCACACCTGCCGCAGCCCACCTACGTCAGGGCTGGGCAGCTGTGCCCAGGAACACCTTGGACTCCCAGCCCTCCTAGGGCAAGTGTGGCTCTGCTGTCCGCCCTACTGGCCTCTGGCAGGCACTGCCCTGTTCCAGCCACCCTCCCTGTTGCCTTCAGCCCAGCGTCCTCTTGTGTCCCCGGCGGCAGGTGCCCAGCCCCCACCAGCCACCTCCACAGTTGCCATGAGAACCACGCACATGGTGGGAGGGTGGGGGCCGAAGCCAGGCCTCCCTTCTCAGTCCGGAGAGCCTCCCCTTCCCCAACCCCTGTGCCTAGGCCAGACACCCAGTGGACCCCTCAGGGACGTTAGCCCCCAGCCTAGGACATCTCCTGCCTGTTGGAGGCTGCTCGCCATGGGGGGTCAGGCCGACAGGAGGGGAACCTGCCCAGGGCCCTGAATCTAAAGGGCCCACAACAGGGCAGGTCCCGCCCTTAGAGGCCAAGGGCATCCGTGATTCCAGCCTCTGCCAAGTCAGACTGTGTCCTGGCTCAGCATCATGTCTGGGCGGGGCTGGGCGGCTAGTGGATGGATGTCACCGTGTGGTTTGGAAGTGGGCCATGTGCAGACCTGGCGCCAGGTGACAGCCCTCCGCTCACCCAGACACTGGCCCCCAGGGAGCCGAGGAGTGTACCCTCGTCCCGGAGAGTCTGAGCATGCTGGAAACAGGAGGCTGCGGGCCTCACTCTGCTGTGCCCATCTGGCCCCAGGTACCTGCCAGTTTGGCCAGCGGGGCTGGGAGCAGCCCATCTGCTCCTGCAAGGGCTTGGCAGAGGCGTGAATTCCGGGAGCTGTCAGCGCCCCAGCCAGAGCCTGGGTCTCCTCCAGGTCCTGCTCCAAGGCCACCATCAAGCCACCAGCTGCCTGGGGCGGGGGTGGGGGGAGTATATGGCTGGAGGCGGGGGCTAGCAGGGTGCTCCTGGGTGCAGCCACCCCGGTTGGACCCGAGGTCTGCCCCTTGGACGTGAGGGAGAGCTTGTCACCTGGCACTCAGCACCAACACACAGCTGGTGGGCCCCACGGGTCCCAGGCGCACCGCACGGCCCCTTTAAATGCAGCCCCGCCGGCCACCAGCGGGGGCAGCACTGAGCGGCCGGCGGCCTCCGCGCCGCTGCCTCGAAGCTTCTGCCGGTGCCGGGGACGCCGCGGAGCGGAGCGGGGAAGGCGGAGCGGGCGCAGGCCTGCGCAGCCCACCGGGCGCGCGCGGCGGGGAAGCAGCGCCCAGGTAAGGGGTCGCCGGCCGCTGCCCCACGGTCGCTATCACGGGGCGGGGGGCACCTGCAAGGATGGGGGGCCGCCCCGGAGCTACACCAGCGGGTCCCCACGCGAGGCGCTCAGGGCGGGGGCAGGGCTGTGCGGCGGGGAGGGCCGCGGGAGGGGCTCGTTTGGCCTGGGACCCCCGCAAGGGCCGACCGGCCCCATGACCAAGGGGAGGGGCATCACCCAGTCCAGCTCCTCACCCCACCGCAGCAGCAGAGCTGGGCTGTCACCTCCCTGGGGCGGAGCGTCATGCCCTGTCATCGGACCCCCAATCCCGGCCTGGCTCTGAGCTTAGGATGGAAAGGGGTGACAAGGGGACAGTCCTATGGCCAGGGACGGAACAGGGGAGGGCGCAGGGCTAGGATGGGACAGGCACCGACGCCCCGTGGCCCTGACCCAGAAGAGCAGACCTGCGGGCAGAAAGCCCCTGGCACCCTGGGACACAGAGGGTCGACCTGGCGGCCAGAGATCCTGCCAGGTGAGGACCCAGCCCCCTGCCTGCCCTCGCTCAGCCTGGGGCACGCTTCCCCGTTTGTGTGAGGAAGGGGCCGCCAGCATCGCGGGAGACCTGACCCAACCGGTCCAGCCCCCTGAGCAGCAGCCGGGCTGGTGGCCCAAGCACGAACATTAGCCCAGCGCATAGGGTGGACCCTAGCCCAGCCCCCACTGCGGGGGCAGAGGGACCTCAGGTTGCCATGGAGCCTTCCTGAGCGGCTGTGGAGAGGGCCCTCTCCTGAGAAGCAGTGAACAAGGAGGGGGGGCTTCACCCGCCCACCACCCTGCCTCCCTGGCTTGCGGCCGGGCCTGGTGCACTGCTCAGGGGAAGAGGGGCGGCCATGAGCTCGAGGCTCACGCCCCCATGTGGTCCTGCAGCCCGTGCCTGGCTTCCCAGCTGCAGGGGGAGGGGGGCTCTCCAGTCCTTGTCATGACAACCCCAACAAGCTTCGTGGGTTTCAACCACCCCAAGATACTGGGATCAGAGAAGGTTTCTGCAAAGGAATGGGGGCTTTCGGGCCCAGGTATGCCCTCTGTGGGGCATTATTCTGGCCTGGGCCACACACAGAGGGTTCAAAGTGGGGCAGGTCAGAACCTGCTGGGCCCACATGAGGGCCCACTGGGGCCTCACGCCTGGGGTTTGGCTCCGGTGACCGTTCCCAGTGTGGCAGCCATTGCAGAACTGGGAGAGGGACTCCATGGCCCACCTGGCCAGCAAGTGAGTAGGGAGCCTCAGCGACTTTGTGCAGAGTCAATTAAGTCTGGGGCCCCGGGTCTCTCCCTCGCCTGCCCCATCAGAGGGGCCTGCTCTGCGCTGGGCACTAGGCGGGGCTTCAGTCACCAGGGGCTTGTGGAGCCAGCTCCTCCGAGGAAATCTGTAAATAAGGCTTCACAGGAGCATTCGGTCATTCCGGCTGGGACCCCTCCCTCCTTCCTGCCCCAGGAGGGCGCTCTCTACCCAAACCTGCCCAAGGGTCACTCCTGGGAGCAGAGGGACCATCCAGGGATACGGGGGCAGGCGCCTGGGGACCGCAGCAACGGCACGGCCTTTCTGGCTGACCGGCTCCATCCCAGCAGAAAGTGGCCCCGGAGGGAGGGCCCAGGGCAAGCGGCCGGACCTGAGTGGCTGGACACCTGGGTTCCTGCAGGTGCTCCTGACGCCGGCATGGAGCACGGGCCTGCGGCCTCAGCCAAGGCCGGCAGCCAGGACTGCTGCGTCCACTGCGCCCCAGGTAAGTGGGGCCGTTGCGGGGGCGTCACCTGGCCTGGGTTGCAAAGGGGCCACCCTGACCCGCATCTCCCACCAGGGCAAAAGCCCCCCAAGGCAGAGTGAGCGGCAACCGCCAGCCTGGGGACCTCTTTTAAGATGACCCGCACGGACCCGCCGGACCTGTTGGTGTCGACCGTGTACCAGGACATCAAGGTGGCGGCCCCAGGGCCCGCGTCGCGGCGCCCGCCATGTGAACGCCCGCCTGCTGCGCCCGCGCCTTTCAACAAGCGCCACTGCCGCAGCTTTGACTTCCTGGAGGCGCTGGACGGGGCGCCCATGGAGGCCCGCACCGAACCGCCGCCCCCAGAGCCTGCGGCGCCGCGCCCACGGCCCCGCGACGGCGAGCCCCGGCGCCGCGCCCGCTCCAAGAGTGCGCCCCGCGCGCCCCCGGGCCTGGCGCCCGCCTCGCCGCCGGTGCTGCCGCGCCGAGGCCGGGATGCCCAGCGGACGGCGCGGGCAGAGGCATCGCCGCACAGGGAGCCTGCGTACCCCGCGCTGCGCGCGCTCGCCAACGAGCTGCACCCCATCAAGCTGCAGCCGCAACGGGGCGGCCCCGGCCGCATGGCGCCCCTCTGCGCCACCACCGGCCGCTGCGCGCCCCCGGAGCCGCCCGCCGGGCCCGCGCCCCATGTCCGCTGCCGCCTGGACATCAAGCCTGACGACGCGGTGTTGCAGCACACCGCCCGGGGCGCTCGGTCCTGCGGGCCCGCGGAGACCACGCCCTGGGCACGCGTCGCCCCCCAGTTCCACGGCCTCACCGTGCCCGGGCCTCGCCACATGGCGCTCTCGCGCACCCCCACCCCCAGCGACACGTACTGCGCGGACCCCCGGGCGCTGTACTGTGACGGTCCGCTGCCTGCGCCCCGGGACTACACGGAGCACCGAAGCCTGCCCTTCACCAGGCCGCCAGGCCCCACCCAATTCTTCTACACCGAGGAACCCGAGGGCCACCCTGGCGGGTTTCCTGCCAGCCCCGGGCCGCCGTTGGACAACTACTACGTCAGGCCCTTCCCGTCCGAGGAGCCCCCTGTGCCCAGTCCGAGGCGCAGCGGGGGCTACTATGCGGGGGAAGTGCGCACCTTCCCGGTCCAGGAACCGCCCTCCCGTTCCTACTATGCGGAGGCCGCGCGAGTCTACGGACCGCCCTGCGGCCCCCGCTATGCTCCCGAGGAAGCCCGGGCTCACCCCGCTCTCCGCCCCTTTTACACAGAGGACTTCGGACGGTACCGCGATCGCGACGCCCTGGCTCGGACTTACCCCCACCCACGCAGCAGCCCCTCCTGGGGTGACTGGGGCCTGCGGCCTTACCGCACCCTGCAGGTCGTGCCTCCCCAGGACTCTGGCCCGCTGCTGGCCTCTTGGCACGGCGGCACCGGCACCAGCCCGCCCCGGCTGGTGACTGACAGCCGCCACTACTCTCGCTCCTGGGACAACATCCTGGCGCCCGGGCCGCGCAGGGAGGACCCCCTGGGCCGCGGCCGCAGCTATGAGAACCTATTGGGGCGCGAGGCCCGGGAGCCACGGGGCGCATCCCCCGAAGGCCGGCGTCCGCCCGTCGTGGTGAACCTGTCCACCTCGCCCAGACGCTATGCCGCGCTGTCCCTGTCAGAGACGTCACTGTCAGAGAAGGGCCGAGCGGGCGAGGGTCTGGGCCGCAACTGGTACGTCACGCCGGAGATCACCATCACCGACAACGACCTGCGCGCCGCGGAGCGTCCGACTGCCAGGGGCTGGGAGCTGCCTGGGGGGCGACCGCGGCGATCTCCGCCCGCCGCCCCGGAAGGCCCCACTGGTGGCCGCCAGCGCAGCCTCGAGCAGCTGGACGAGCTCATCACCGACCTGGTCATCGACTCTCGGCCCCCCGCCGGCCCGGCCCCCGACCCCTCGGCGGAGGGCCTGGGCCGCCACCTGCGCCGCCTGCTGGACTCTCGGCCGGCGGGCCACGGGGCCCCAGCGCTGGCGCCGCGCTCGCCCCCCGCATCGGCCGGCAGCGCCGAGGAGCCCGCGGGCCAGGGGCAGGCGGCCGACGCGTCCCCGGAGCCCAGCGCCGACGAGGACGACCTGATGACGTGCTCCAACGCGCGCTGCCGGCGCACGGAGACCATGTTCAACGCCTGCCTCTACTTCAAGTCGTGCCACAGCTGCTACACCTACTACTGCTCGCGCCTGTGCCGCCGCGAGGACTGGGACGCGCACAAGGCGCGCTGCGTGTACGGGCGCGTGGGCAGCGTGTGCCGCCACGTGCTGCAGTTCTGCCGGGACAGCGGCCCGGTGCACCGCGCCTTCTCGCGCATCGCGCGCGTCGGCTTCCTGTCGCGCGGCCGCGGCGTGCTCTTCCTGGGCTTCCCGAGCCCGGGCTCCGCAGACAACTTCCTGCGCTTCGGCCTCGAGGGGCTGCTGCTGTCGCCCACCTACCTGTCTCTGCGCGAGCTGGCCACGCACGCGGCGCCCCTGGGCAGCTATGCGCGCGAGCTGGCGGCCGCCGGGCGCCTCTACGAGCCGGCCGAGTGCTTCCTGCTCAGTGTGTCGGTGGCCGTGGGCCCTGGCGCCGCGCCCCCCGGCGCCTCCGGCCGGCCCGCGCCCGCGCCGCGCAGCCCTGGGCCCACCGTACGCAAGTTCGCCAAGGTGGCGCTGGCCGCCGGCAGCCCGGCGCGTCCGCCCCCGGCCCGGGGTCGCGAGCCCGACATGGAGACGCTGATCCTGACTCCGCCGCCCGGCACCGCCGGCCTGGACCAAGAGGGCGAAGCAGGCCGGCGCGCGCGCGAGGTGGCCTTCATCCACATCCAGCGCGAGCTGCGGCTGCGCGGCGTCTTCCTGCGCCACGAGTTCCCGCGCGTCTACGAGCAGCTCTGCGAGTTCGTCGAGGCCAACCGGCGCTTCACGCCCACCACCATCTACCCCACGGACCGGCGCACCGGCCGCCCTTTCATGTGCATGATCATGGCCGCCTCCGAGCCACGCGCGCTGGACTGGGTGGCCAGCGCCAACCTGCTGGACGACATCATGTGAGCCGCGGGGTCGCGCCCGGGCTCCGCCCAGCCCGCTCCAGGCCCGCCCCCTTCGACCCCGCCCAGTCCGCGTGGGGCCCACCCCCGAGCTGCGCCCCGTCTACTCAGACACCGACCGCCCCGTCCACCCCAAGCCCACCCCGAGCCCCGCGCAGTCCACCGAGGGCCTGCCCCCGAGCTCCGCTGCCTACTCAGACCCCACCCAGCCCACCGGGAGCCCCGCCCAGCCCCTCAGGCCGGGCCGTGCTCCCCGCCAGTCTTCCATCTGTTCGCCGCAAGCTCCGCCCAGACCCCCTCCCTTTGGAGGTCAGAGGCCCCGCCTTGCCCTCCCCTTCCCCCAGCTAGCCCTGGGGCCTCCCCGGAGGCCGGTCCTCGGCCCCTTGGTGCTCCCCGCTGGGAGGCGGGGTGGGCCTGAGGGCCGCCCGGCCCTGCCTTTAAGAGGACGGGTCACTACTGCAGACCCCACCGCAGTGATCCGGTCAGCCCATTCCCTGACGCCCACGATGCCTCCCGGGAACCTCCCCAGGCCGGGTTGATCAGAGCCTAATCCCGTCCCTTTTACATGCATCCACCCGTTTACTGTCGTTTGGGGTGCGTCCTGCTCGGAGGCCGTTCCTCTCTGGAGGACACCCTGGCTAGTCCCGTTGTGTTCGTGTCCCGGGCAGAAAAGGCTAGTGCGGGCCCTGCACGGCCCGTTCCCGCTGGCTCAAGCCCGGGCTAGAGAGACCACAGCGGGACCCCGAGCGCGCACACTGGCGGCCCTGCCCGCCCTCCGGCCGCCCTGTCGTGGGCCCTCGCAGGAGAGTTTGGGACAAGCAGCAGTGGAGGGGTACCCGGAGGTCTTCAGGCGTGGCGCAAGACACCCAGACAGGACCCCCCGGGAGGGGGAAAGAGGACGTGGGTGCGGACGCCGGCAGGATCCAGCCCAGAGCTGAGTCCTGGCAGGGCGTGAGTCGGGCTGTCTGCCCAACACGGACAGGAGGCTCCTAGGTGGGTGCCAGGGCAGAGTGGGAGGGCGGGAGAAGACGCACAGGATGGATGAGCGGGAGGGACCGCGGAGGCGGACCTCTAGAAAGGGCTCCGCCGACCCGCCAACGTAAGGAGGACAAAAAAGATTGGACGTTCCCCGTTGGGAGCGGGCGCCGGACCGAGCCAGTTGACCAGGGCGGGGTCCACCGGAGGGATGGGTGTGTGACTACCCGGACGGCCCCGCGCGCTTGCTCTGGCCTCGCCCTATGCCGTGCGCTGAAGACGCGAGGCTGGCGACCCGGCTCCGGCTCTGGGAGCGCACACTCGTTGGCCCACTGCCCTGGCTCCATAAGGGCGAGTGACCGTAGTCCCCGGGACTCGCAACAGCCCTCCTGGAGCTCCCAGCACTCCCCGTCGCGGCCAGAAGAGAGCATCAGTTGGATTGCGAGCGTCCCCCACACCTCTGTTCCCGGCTCTCGCCCCCGCCTCGTGCACTCCCGCCCATCCCCCCCACAACGCCTGCGCGCCCGCCTCGGCCCAGCGCGTGTGCACCGGCCACGTGCCCCGCTCGCCCCACCCGCCTTCGCGACCTGCCGGGCCCGGCCGCCGTGCCCCCTGCCCGCGGGCCCCAGCTTTCCGCCCGACGCCCGGGAGCTGGCTGGCCAGGAGTGACCCTGGACCGGGATTATGTCCAGGGGCGAACGCTTTCGAACCAAGTAAAACAACTCAAATGTGGCAGCGCTTGCTCTTTGGGGGCGGGGGAGGCGTGGGTGGGACCGGGAGGGGGGCCTGGACGGGCTGGGCGCGAGGGAGGGAAGGGGAGGGCCTTGGGGTGCGGCGGGAGGAGGGAGAGGGAGGATTTGGAACGCGGTGGGGTAGGGGGAGGGAGGCCTTGGGACGTGGGCAGTGGGGGGACGAGGAGAAGAGGTCAGGGCCTCACAGGCCGCCGAACTCCCCGTGAAGGTGCCCGCCGCCCACTCCGCCTCCCAGACCCCGCTGAAAAGAACTGCCCGGTTGGCCGGGTTGGACCACCACCCACTCCGGGTTCGCAGTTCTCCTTTAAGGGGGACCCGCGTGGCCGCAGAGTTGCAAGGAGCTAGATTGCCATTGGCCAGGCCGTGCTACAGGTCGGCGGCACGATTGGTTGAGGCTCTGGGCCTCAGCACGCATGCCCCCGCGCGATTGGTCCCGGACTCCCAGAGCCCGCCTCCCTCGGGGATGACTCAACCCGGGCTCGCGGGTGGAAGGGCCGCGGCCTGCAGGGAACATGGCGGCGGCGGACCTCGCCCAGATCGCCGATGTGGACATCGATTCCGACGGCGTCTTCAAGTACGTGCTGATTCGAGTTCACTCGGCGCGACCCTCCGAGGCCCCGACCGGGGAGAGCAAGGACATCGTGCGCGGCTACAAGTGGGCCGAGTACCATGGTGAGGGCGGAGCCGGAGGGCGTTTTCGGGGCGGGGCCAGCCGGCTCGGGGGCGGGGCCGGGGCTGGGCGGGGCACGCCGGCTCGGGGGCGGGGCTGAGGGCGAGAGGCGATCCTGTGCTGGGTCTGACCCTGAGCTGGCTCAGGGGAGTCAGGGTCCTGGAGGGCAAGGGGCTGCCGTGGACCGACCCCTGTCTCCTAGTACCAGCGCTCTTGCCCGGGTGCACGCCTTCCTCCCTCTCATGGCGTCCCAGCCCGGAGGAGCTGCTCTCCCGGGGAAGGAGCTGCTCCGAGCCGGAGCGTCCCGTGCCCTGGCCGCCCAGGGGCCGCGGCGGGTGCTGAGCTGCCTTCCCTGTCCCAGCTGACATCTATGACAAGGTATCGGGCGAGATCCAGAAGAAGGGCTATAGTTGTGAGTGCCTGGGAGGCGGGCGCATCTCTCACCAGAGCCAGGACAAGAAGATCCACGTGTACGGCTACTCCATGGTGAGCCCCAACGGCCGGGTCCAGGGTGCAGAGACCAGCTCTCACCAGCACTCACTGCCCTGCCCCCAGAAGCCTGCAGTGCTGGGGTCTCTGGGCTGTGTCAGCTGCTGACTCCTCCCTCCAGTGGCCTGCCCATTTCCCAAGTGGAGCAGGAGGGAGGCCTCTGCCTGCCCCTCAGCCCTGGGGGGCCGTGTCCTGTTCCTACATGAGGCCTGGCTGGGCTATCACTGTCCTCCAGCTCTGGGAGGCACTCCGAGTTTTGGCGTGAGACACAGCAGCCTCTCCCTCTTCCTTCTCTAAGCCGCAGTGGTGACCCCATCTGTCTTGTCACCTGGGATAGCCCTCTGGCTCACCGTGGCAGCCACCTTTCTGCAGGAGAGCTCCCTGGGGCAGGCAGGGAGGGATGGCCGTGTTTGGCTCCACCCGGGGATGCCCCCCAAGGCGGCTGCTTGGAGTTGCTGTTGGTGGACGCCCAGAGCCAGGACGGGTCTGTAACACCGGCTTCTCTCTCCAGGGTTATGGTCGTGCCCAACACTCCATCTCCACTGAGAAGATCAAAGCCGTGTACCCTGATTACGAGGTCACCTGGGCCGATGATGGCTACTGAGGCCTGCCCAAGGGGCCAGCTGTACCCCCTGGCCAGGACACCAGCCTGGCCCAAGTGCCCCCAACTCACCTCACCCACAGGAATTAAAAATGTTATCACCTGTGCTGTTGCCCAGATGCTGTGTGTCTTGATTTTTCTGTTTTGGCAGAAAGCCGGAGGTGGCCCTGGAAACAACAGGGCCCCTGCGGGCTGCCCCTCACCCGGCTCCACATCTGGGGGCCCCAGGGAGTGGCAGTGCACACTCAGCCCTTTGTGGTCTGATAAGGGGGCCCTGCACTGCTGCCCCTCTTTATGGCCTGATGGCTCCGCATGTGGCTCCTATGTCCAAGGACATTCGGGAGGAAACTCTGAGCCCTTGCGCAAGGAAGTAGCACCAGGTCCCTCGGAGCCAGCGGACGTCAGTGTCTCTGCATGATCTACCGCTGGTGGTCACACGTGACGTGACCCAGGACCCCTTCCAAGACCAGGTCCCAGGGCACCTGCTCAGCTCCTTCTCCAAATAAATGGCTGAGGCCTCAGAGTTGGAGCTGGGAGCCCTCCTCTCGGGACCACCTCCCCTCCTCCCGTGCAGGGCTGTGGGGGACCAGCTGTGGCAAGCGGATATTGTATCGGGAGGGGAGAGCCAGGCACCGCTGAGCGTGCCTGTCCCCGCGGCTCCCTGTGCTCACAAGTGCCATCTCATGGTGCATGCCCTCTGTGAGCCCACGGCGACCCTCAGGGTCGCCGCTCCGGGCAGGTGCTGTTGTGACCACACGTCACCGATGATGAGACAAGCTCCGGAGTCTCACCGTGGTCAATGGCAGCCAGATGCCGGGGTCTGTGCCTGGCAGCACCCAGCCACACTGCCTGGAACACTCATCGGATAAGTGACTGTCATTTATACGTGGCTAAGCCATCGGGAAGCCGTGGACTGAGTTACGGAGGCCCCTGGGTGCTTGGGGCCAGGGACACAGGTGGCACACGCTGGGCTCCCCCCCTGAGCTCCAGGAGGCCTCAGAGCCTGACCGGGTCGGCGATGTGGCTGCAGCCTGTACCACCGCAGCCGTCCCACCCCTGCCGGGCCTCTAGCAGGCAGGCCTGGGCGGCAGTGGGCACGATGACTGTGGCCCGACCTTTGGTCTAAAGGAGCCAGGCAGGTGGGAGCTGACCTCAGCCAGGGGCCCCTTCCCTGGACCCTTTTACAGCCGGATGCTCCTCCTCACCCACACGGGGTGGGGCCCTCTGACGGGCAGCAGGTACAGAAGGGGCCCAGGCCCCAGTGCAGTCAGCAGTCAGCCCGTGGGGCCACGGGCAGATAACCGGGCAGAAGGGCCACAGATCGCTCGGGGCGCACACCGTCTGTTCCCGCTGGCCTGGCTATGCCTCTGCCCGGCTGGCTCCTGCCTGTCCTGGTCCTGCTCGTGGGTGAGTTGTTGGTCCGGCCGCTAAAGCGGGGCCGGGCACAGGTGCTGGGCCTGCAGGGGAGGAGGGTGCAAGGCCCCGGGTGAAGTTGGTGGGAGCGTGGGCAGGCCAGGTCGTCGAGAAAGGGGCAAGAATTCTGCTTCCTCTGGCCCCAAGGTCCATAGGTCCCAAGGCAAGACCCTAGTCCACCACTCTGCGACACACAGAGGCTGAGGAAAGGGCGGGGCCCCTCCCGGTAGCTGCTCCAGCTCCCCTCCTCCGGCGCTGTCCCCCGCTGGGGGCCCTTGGCCCTGTGCTCCCATCCCCCCCACGCAGCCACCCTCTCCCAGGCCAGATGGACTCTGCCTGGGCCCGATTGGGAGCCCCAAGTGGCAGGACCCAGCCCTCTCCCCCCCTGACTCTTGGCCCGGGGCCCCAAGCAGGTGAACAGCATCGCAGGTTCCCTGGGACTGGGGGGCCACACCGCCTCCAGCCACCCAGCTGTTTCTCTGTCGGCAGCTGGGCCCCTAGGCTGGACCGGGGTCCCCAGCAACTGCAGGGCCCCCCCGCGAGGCCACATGCAACTTCGTGTGTGACTGCCCAGGCTGCTCCGACGAGACCCGCTGTGGTGAGCCAGGGCCGAGCAGGGGTTGGGCGGGCTGGCCCTTGACAGGCAGCCACTGACCTCCCACTCTCCAGGTTACCACGGAGCCTCGCCTGCTCTGGACGCCCCCTTCGCCTGCAACTTCGAGCGGGACCCGTGCGGCTGGCAGGACATCAGCACCTCGGGCTACAGCTGGCTCCGAGACAGGGCAGGAGCCTCCCTGGAGGTTCTGGGACCTCGCTCAGACCACACGCTCGGCACGGACCTTGGTGAGGCCTGGCTGGGTCTCCATGGCATCCCCTCCCCTCTTTCCTCCCAGCCCCATGTCCTGACCTCTCTGCTGGGCCAGGCTGGTACATGGCTGTCGGCACCCATCGTGGCAGAGAGACCTCCACAGCCGTCCTGCGCTCCCCTGTCCTGCGCAATACAGCCCCCACCTGTGAGCTGAGGCTCTGGTTCAACGCGGCCTCTGGAGGTGGGTGCCCGGGACCCTACTGCCTGGTGGGGGTGCCCTGAGGGGAGAGACCCAGAAAGGAAGGAGGGCTGCTGCAGAGCCTGGGAGGGTACCCAGTAGGAGGGACAAGCATCTGAGGGCTGGACCCAGGTAGCAGGCTGGGGGCAGCCCTGGGGCCTGAGTTGCCCCGGGGACCCCCCATCCCCCATTCCAGATGTGGCTGAACTGCGGCTAGAGCTGACCCACAGGGCCGAGACCTTGACCCTGTGGCAGAGCTCCGGGCCCTGGGGCCCAGGCTGGCAGGAGCTGGTGGTGGCCACTGGCCGTATCCAGGACGACTTCCAGGTGAGCTAGGGATGGTCTGGGTACTGGGGGCAGCAGGGAGGGTCTGAGCCTGGACTTAAGTCCTAAGGACCCCACTCTTTTCAGGTGACCTTCTCTGCCACTCGAAATGTGACCCACAGGGGTACCGTGGCCTTGGACGATGTTGTCTTCAGGGGCTGTGGGCTGCCCAGTAAGGCCCCCCTGCCATGGGCCGACACTGGGGGGGGGGGGCGTGAGTGGGGGCCCCTCACCTGCTCACACCCAACTCGGATGGTCTCGAGCCTCTCCCCTAGCTGCCCCGGCCCCCGCGGTTTGGGGTCACGGTGATGGGCTGCCCCTCGCCCATCTCAGCCCCCCAGGCACAATGCCCTCTGGGGCATCACCATTGTGGAAACATGGCCTGTGTGGAGTCCCACCAGTTATGCGACGGAGAGGACAACTGTGGGGACGGCTCAGACGAGGACACGCCCGCCTGCCGTGAGCTGGAGGGGCTGCTGCGGACCATCCAGAGAACATGGGGGGGTGGGGGACAGGGGCGGGTAAAGGAGAGGCCCTGCTGGCAGTCTGAGCACCCCGCCCCTGTCCTCCAGGCCACCACACCACCACCGACTTTGAGACGGGCCTGGGCCCATGGAACCACTCAGAGGGCTGGGCCCGGAACCACAGTGCCGGCGCCGAGCATCCAGCCTGGCCACGCCGGGACCACAGCCGGAACAGCATACAGGGTGAGGCCCGCCAGGGAGCGCTGGTCCTCATCTCCCAGAGCCCCACCAACCCTGCCCACACCTGTCTCTCCCCAGGCTCCTTCTTGGTCTCCGTGGCCGAGCCCAGTGCCCCCGCCGTCCTCTCCAGCCCCGAGTTCCAAGCATCGGGGGCCCACAACTGCTCGGTGAGGCAGGGGACACAGGTCGGCTTGTCCTGGGGGCCTGGGCTGGCAGGTCTCCCTCACCTTGCACGGCTTCTCCTCAGCTCATCTTCTATCACTACCTGCACGGGTCCGTGGACGGCTCCCTGCAACTGTTCCTGCAGACCCGGAGCCCGGGCCCCCCCCCAGGTCCCCGTCCTGCTGCGCAGGCGCCGTGGGGAGCTGGGGGCCGCCTGGGTCCGAGACCGGGTGGACATCCAGAGCCAGCACCCCTTCCGGGTGAGGCCAGAGACAGCAGTGGCTGGAGGGGGAGGGTGGGCACGTGGGAGGTCCGGAGGGCCCCCAGAGCTTGAGCAGAGGAGCTCAGGGGCCGGGGTGCTGGCCCGGGTCCCTCCAGGCTGCCACAGCAGAAGGCTGGTCTGCTTGTCAGTGAGGTCATCCTCCAAGGAAGGAGCCGTCACGATCACAGCCCCTCTCGTGGGGCTGTGGCAGGGCGGTGACCAGAGGCGGTGTCCAGTGACATGGAGAGTACAAGGCGGGGGGAGGGCTGGAGGGAGCAGAGCTGGGGAGGATAGAGGGTGCTGGGGTGCGCCCTGAGCCGCCTCCCCGTGCCCTCAGATACTGCTCACTGGGCACACCGGCCCAGGTGGCGTTGTGAGCCTGGATGACCTCATCCTGTCGGACCACTGCCAGCCAGTCCCAGGTGGGCCCGTGAGCCCCTCCCTCCCCAGCAGGAGCACCACTCCTGTCCACCTGACCCGTTTTGCCCCCACAGACATGTCCACCCCGCCCCCTGGGCTCTGGGCCCCGGCCCCTGGGCCCCAGCTGTCCAGCCTGCCGCCCCAGGACTTCTGCGAGCCAGGACATCTTCCATGTGGGGACCTGTGTGTCCCCCCAGAGCAGCTCTGCGACTTCCAGCACCAGTGCGAGGGGGGCGAGGACGAGCAGGAATGCGGTGAGGGGCGTCCCAGGCGGCGGGAGGTGGGGCCCGCCTTCCTCCACACGCTCCTGCTCAGCGGGGCTGCTGTTCCAGGCACCACGGACTTCGAGCCCCCCGAGGCCGGGGGCTGGGAGGACGCCAGTGTGGGACGGCTGCAGTGGGGGCGTCTCCAGGCCCAAGAGAGTGGAGGCCCTGGCGCAGATGGCGGCAGGGCTGCTGCGGGTGAGGCCCGAGGCCCCTGCCCACGAACCGTGTCCCCACAGGGGTCTTTGCTCTGCCTCTTCCCACCAGGGACCGTGTCTGCGGTGGGGGTCCCTGGCAGGAATTGGCTCTGAGCCGCCTCGCTCTTCCTCAGGGCATTTCCTGTCCTTGCAGAAGGCCTGGGGACAGCTGACACCAGAGGCCCGGGTCCTCACACCTCCCTTGGGCCCCTCGGGCCCCCGCTGTAAGCTCCGCGTGGCTTACTATTTCCACAGTGACCCCCGAGGTACCACGCGGGGGCTTGCGAGAGCTCCCTAGTGCACCCTGCGGGAGGGGGGGGGGCGGGCCGGGTGGATCCACCAGGACCCCCTCGCCCAGGCTTCCTGGCACTGGTCGTGGTGGAGGGCGGCCGCCGGGAGCCGGTGTGGCAGGCCCCAAGCAGCAGTAGCGGCTGGAAGGCGGACACGGTCCTTATCGGGGCGCGCCGCCGACCTTTCCAGGTGAGGAGGGCAGCCTGGGGGGGGGGGGGGCGGCGCTCACCAAGCCAGGCCTGACTTAATAGCCCCCTCCCTTGTGCTCCTGACACAGCTGGAATTCGTCAGCCTGGTGGACTTGGACGACCCTGGCCAGCAGGGTGCTGCAGTGGATGATGTGACCTTGGAGGACTGCAGCCCCGTGACAGCAACTGAGAAGGACTCAGGTTCCAGTCCCTCCCCAGGGGCTTCCCACCCAGACCACCCAGACGGAACCCTGGGAGCCCCTGCCCCCTCAGGACACAGGAGGCGCCTGGTGGCTCTGGGCTGTGCTGACCCCCCCGGCCCCCCCCCCAGAGGTCTCCTGTAACTTTGAGCGGGACACTTGCGGCTGGCACTCCGGCCACCTCACAGATGCCCACTGGCGCCGAATCCAGAGCCGTGGGCCTGGGTACGACCACACCACGGGCCAAGGTAGGTGGGGGCACCCAGGCCTGGGGAGCAGCTCTCAGAGTCGGGGAGCGGGTGGAGGGCATCGCGCCCATCCTGACCAAGCCCATCCCGGAAGCTGGCATCTTTGCAGCTCAGCCCGGTGTCCCCACGGCAGGCTACTTCTTGCTCCTGGATCCCACGGACCCCCCGGCCCGGGGCCCCGGGGCCCACCTGCTCACCCAGCCCCAGGCCCCAGCAGCCACCCAGGAGTGTCTCTCCTTCTGGTACCACCTCCACGGGCCCCAGATCGGTGAGTGACCCTGGGGCTGGGCGAGGGCTCCCTGTTCTGCCTCTCCAGAGCCCTGGAGGAGAGGCAGGAAGCCCCCAGGAGCCGGGCTCTGGCCCTCTCCTACCCTCCCCTGCATCTAGGGACGCTGCGCCTGGCAGTGAAGCGGGAAGGAGAGGCAGAAACCCTCCTGTGGTCGCGGAGCGGCACCCACGGCAACTGCTGGCACGAGGCCTGGGCCACCCTGCACCACCAGGCGGGCTCCGGCGCCAAGTACCAAGTGAGGCCCCACGCCTGGGGGGGCGGGAAGGCCGGGCAAGGCCCCCAACCGCTGACGCCCCTGGTCCCCAGCTGCTGTTCCAGGGCCTCCGAGACGGCTACCACGGGACCATGGCACTGGACGACGTGGCCATGCGGCCTGGGCCCTGCTGGGCCTCCAGGCGGTGCTCCTTTGAGGACTCGGACTGTGGCTTCTCCAGCAGCGGCCAAGGCCTCTGGACACGACAGACCAATGCCACGGGCCATGCCTCCTGGGGCCCCCGCACCGACCACACCACAGAGACGGCTCAGGGTACGTGGCAGGGGTCGGGGGTGCCCAGGGGAGTCAGACGCAGGCTGACATTGGCACCCTCCAGGACACTACATGGTGGTGGACACGAGCCCACACGCCCTGCCCCGTGGCCATGTGGCCTCCCTGACCTCAGAGGAGCACCGGCCTCTGACCCAGCCCGCCTGCCTGACCTTCTGGTACCACCTGAGCCTCAGAAGCCCAGGTGAGGGGCGGCAGGGGCTGCCCAGGAGCCCCCGACGGGCTGTTCCTTGTGGCGGCTGCTGACCGGGCTGGCCATGTGCTGCGGCAGGCACCCTGCAGGTCCACGTGGAGGAGGCCGGGAGGCAGCAGGTGCTCAGCCTCAGTGCCCACGGGGGCTTTGCCTGGCGCCTGGGAAGCGTGGACGTGCAGGCTGAGAGGGCCTGGAGGGTAAGTGTGGGGGGCAGGGGGCCTTCTCCCCTTTGAGGGCGGTCTGGACCCCGGAGGCGACCCCCCCACCACGCCCGTGCAGGTGGTATTTGAGGCGGTCGCTGCTGGTGTGGAGCGGTCCTACATCGCACTAGACGACCTGCTGCTCCAGGATGGGCCCTGCCCCCGGCCAGGTGGGAGCACCCCCCCTGCCCGGCCCTCGCACCTGCTGCATACCAACCCCAACACGCCTGGCCCGGCCCTGGACCCAAGAGGGGAAACAGGGGCCGCCCTGCTGACCTGCCCAGGTCTCTCGCAGCTTCCTGTGACTTCGAGGTCGGCCTGTGTGGCTGGAGCCATCTGCCCTGGCCTAGCCTGGGAGGGTTTAGCTGGGACTGGAGCAGTGGGGCCACGCCCTCCCGGTACCCCCAGCCCCCCGTGGACCACACTCTGGGCACAGAAACAGGTGGGTCTGAGATGTGGAAGAGGCCCACGCCCCACCCCACCGTGGGCCGAGCCTAGCCGGTTCAGGCTCCCATCACAGTCGGCGGGGTCCACGCCATCCCGTCAGCCAGCCCGGAGCCCTGCCCTCTCTCATTTCCAGGCCACTTTGTTCTCTTTGAAACCGGTGTGCTGGGCCCAGGGGGCCGGGCGGCCTGGCTACGCAGCCAGCCTCTGCCTGCCACCGAGTCCTCCTGCCTCCGATTCTGGTACCACATGGGTTTTCCGGAGCACTTCTGTGAGTGTGGCTGGGCCGCCAGCGCCTGGGTGGCAGGAAGAGCCGGGGCCAGGAGCGGCGCTGACCTGCCCTGACCCCCACTTGCAGACAAGGGGGAGCTGAGGGTGATCCTGAACAGCGAGCGGGGCCAGCTGACCGTGTGGAGTGCCGGCGCACACCGGCGGCACCAGTGGCTGGAAGGCCACGTGGAGGTGGTCAGTGCCGAGGAGTTCCAGGTGAGGCCTGGTGGCCCCTGCGCCTGGAGATCCCAGAGGCCTGGGCAGGACCAGCCTCCTCTCGCCCACGCAACCCCTTCTCCTTCCCCCATCAGATCGTGTTTGAAGCCACACTAAGCGGCCAGCCGGCCCTTGGGCCCATCGCGCTGGACGACGTGGAGTATCTGGCTGGGCAGCCCTGCCAGCGGCCCACATCTAGCCAAGGTGAGCCCTGCCCAGGTCCGCCAGCTCTGCTCGCATTCAGGGCCCCTGTCAGGCACAGCGGCTCATGGCCCACGTGGCTGCCAGTGGCCCGGCTTCCAGCCCGAGAGGCCAGGAAAGTCACCAAGATCGGCCCCGCACCATTCCCTCCCTCCCCCTCTGTCCACTCCCTTTTTAAAAGATTTATTCACGTGCTGAGAGAGAAGGCTCCTGTGCGAGAGCGGGCAGGCAGGGGGAGGGGCGGAGGAGGGACGTTCAAGCTGACACCCCGAGCAGGGAGGGCGAGCCGGGTGAGACCGAGATCTGAGCTGAAGTAAGACTCCACACGTCACCAAGCCATGCAGGCGCCCGTCTCCTCCCCTTCTGAGCTGGGCCACCCTGGTCCTTGGTCCCTCGGGAGGCCAGCCAGGTCTGCGTCCCCTTCTTGGACCGGCACTGCATGCCCCCACTCCCGCGGAGGGGGCGGGCGCTGCGCAGACCCTGGAGCAGGTGCCCCGTCCTGCCAGAGACCAGCAGCAGCTTGTGGAGCTCTTGCTGTCTCGACAGCTGACAAAGGGGCGGGTCCAGCTACCTGCCAGGTCCCTGGCCTCAGCCTGGCGCCCCCCTCCAGCCTACTGGGGCCTCAAGGACGGGCCATCCCACGTGTCCTCAGCTGTCGGGGTAGGGCTGATGGGCAGGGCTCGAGTCCCAGGGCTCACATGCCCACGGCCCACAGGGGACACAGCACTGGCCGCGTCGGTGCCAACCATCATTGGCAGCGCCCTCCTCGTGCTCATCGTCCTGGTGCTGACTGGACTTGGGGGATGGCGCTGGTTGCAGAAAAAGGGGAGCTGCCCCTCCCAGGCCGAGACAGCAGCCGTGGCCCCGGGCTTCGACAACATCGTCTTCAATGCGGTAGGCGCCCCTGGTGAGGCCAGCGGGCAGGGAGACTGCGGGGAAGTCCTCCTGGCCTGGCCTGCCCGGCTGGGGGTGTATACATCCCCCACTCAAAGGCTCCCCTCCTTCCATCTAGGATCATGTCACCCTGCCGGCTTCGCTCACCGACCCCTAGTAGATGGCCCAGAGACTGGCTCCCCAGACAAGCACACCCACTCCGACCGCAGCCCTGTCCAGGGAATAACACCTGCCTCTCCCCCAGGATCCCTGGAGCCCCCAGGCTGTCACCCTGCACAGAGACTGCCACCCACATGCCTGGGGACTGTCCTCACCCCAACAATAAATGCCCTCGCCTGTGAGGGCAGCCCCCACTTACTGGCTGAGGTCCGTGCCTCCTGCTGTGTCAGCAGCAAAGAGGGCTCCCAGGGCTCCGCAGCTGAAAGGATGTGCCTGGGGGTGCCTCCCACACATCTCAGGGACTCGGTGACCACACCCGACAGGACCCAGGGCAAGAGGCACAGAGACAGACACAGTACACCCTGATAAGCCCCTGCCCCAGGCCCGGCAGGCACCTCAACACTCAGGTGGCCCGGCCCAGCCCATGGGATCCTGACCCGAGCCCCGTCCCTGCCTTGCTGGGTGATTCTGCATCTGACTTAGGACAGGGAGAGACCCCCACAGTGCAGGCGACGGACCGAGGAGCAAACGCTTAACCGGGTATAAGGGGGCGTAGAGTGGGTCTGGGTGGTGGGGCGATGTTCTGCTGTGTCCACGATTCTAAATAAAGGTCTCACGTCCACTGTCCCACGGTAGAGGTCCTGTGTCATAAGGGCCCCCATGTCCACCATCCCATGGTCAAGTTGAGGTGGTCCCCAAAATGATGTGTCTCAAAGCACAGGTCACTCGGTGCCCTGTGATGCCGCTGAGGTTACTGGCAGGCAAGCTGGGGTTCCTGCTCTCCTCACAGGCTCTGAGAAGGAAGGCCACCCCCGTCTCTGAGCTGTCAGAGCCCCTGGTGTGCCACATACCCTCCCTAATAAAACGGAGCAGAATCTTTCCAACCCAGGAAGGGTCCCCCTGGGCACCCACACAGCCAGGTGCTCTCCTCCTACCTGCAGGAAGGCTCCCCTGCCTTGCCATCCCAGGCCACTGGAGAGCCCAAACCAGGGGAGCACACGGGTCTGGTGCCCCGAGGCAATGCCCACAAAGTGTCCCAGCAAAGGGTGACAAGGAAACAGCGCTGCAGAGTGACCTTCACGGTCCTCAGGCACCACCCCTCGCCAACACGGCATGTCACGAAACCCGTGTCTTCCTACGCTCTGGGCAAAGTGGCGCACTGAAGGCGTGGCAGACCACACTAGACGGCACCGACTCTCCGCCAGCAGGAAGCACAACCATCGTTTACTGGCTTCTCTGAAGGCCAGACTGGAGACAGCATCTGCTCTTCCCATCGGGTCACCCCACCCCACAGCCCCCGCCAGCGTGAGGTGGTCCCACTCAGAGCCCCCCGGGGAGTCACCCCAAGACCGGGCAGACACTGGGGATGAGAAGGAAAAAAGATCAGGAGAAGCAATACTTTGCAAGGTTTTGTTTGACAGCGGTATGGGGAGAGGGAGTTCCTGGGCAGGGCTGACGCCCCGCGTTCCGCTCGGCCACGTGAAGAGACCCACGCTGGCGCTGGTGGTCAAGGGGAACCAGCCAGACAAGATCAGCCGGAACGCACTGATTTCGAGGCTTTGTGTTCATTTCGCCCTTGGCCCCTTCTCAATCGGCTTCCCGATGTCCTTCCCCCGGAGCTTGAGGCCTGAAAGAGCCATTGGCCCACTCACCGCCGCGGCGGCCACTCCAGGACCCGAGAGGCAGGACAGCGGCACAGCGCTCCCAGCCATCACCCCCAAGGTGGCAGCAGCACCCACCCTACCCTTGAGCACCAGCCCCCCTCCTCCACAGGAAGGAGCCGGAGAGAGCAAGGAGGCCAAGGACCACCCCCTCCAGTCCTGGCTGGGCTCAGCCCACAGTCCGAGCGCCTGCTAACCTTCCAGAGTAGAGGGCAGCTGTCCCCTCCCAGAACTAGGGCTCCAGTGCTCTGGGAGCTCCACATGCTCGGTGCCACACTGACACCACGGGGTGGCCACTGAGCCCTCTATCCACAGGCCCAGAGGGCGCTGGCCAGCAACAAAGCAGGGGATAGAGGACACGTGCAAGCCAGGGCTGGGGGCGCACACGACACTCAGACAACAAACTTGGGAATTTCCTAAGGGTCTGGAGAATTCCGCAGCCTCGGGGGCCTTCCTGTGCTTGGCAGCTGCCCTGTACCTGGTCAGGCAGCAGCAGGGACCCGGTAAAGGACCAAAGGACACTCACCGATAGCTCTCTCGATTTTGCCCAGAACCTGGTTATTAGGAATGGCCCGTCCACTCTCGTAGTCTGCGATGACCTGCGGCTTCTCATTGATTTTCTAAAGAGACAGATTTTGCACACGACAACTCCAACAACAGCAGGTCACAACATAAGCATACAGCCAAGGCAGTCGCCACGAGCACCACCTTCCGTGGCAACACGTGCGCCAAGGGCCTTCCTAGGTGCCCGCCCTCAGAGGCCCCGGGGTCTGCACACGATGGAAGCTGTGCCACATTCAAGAGGAAGATGACAGCTGGCCCGATACAGCTTCCCCAGGGGCTCCCAGGGCCAAGCGCCACGGAAAGCCGCGCCCAGCCGCGTGGCAGTGCGTTCTGACCACCGACCTCCCTCCTGCCCAGCCGCAGCCTGGGAGGAAGGGCCCTGCCCTGCTCACCGTGGCCAAGTCCTTCTGTGTCAGCCCCTTGCTCTGCCGGCCCTGCTGGATCACCTTGCCCACCTCCAGGGTCACGCGATCGTGGTGCAGCTCCTCGGTCTCCCGGTCGAGCTTGGCCGTGTTCTTGGTGATCGAGTGCTGTCGGTTCTGCCCGGCGGCCCCTGCACCAGCACGAGGCGAAGGCACAGCACAGGGTTTGCCACGAGCCCCCAACAAAGCCAGTTCAGAACAGGAAGCAGGCCCACAGGCGGCCTGTGCCACAGTGACCAGGCACCAAAACACAGGGAACCCCACGGGCTTAAGAGCATGGGGCGCAGAACCTTGTGTGAGTTCTCGCCTGACTACACCCTGCACCGCTGCTCTGCTAAGACCCCAGCCCACCTCCAGCCCCCCGCAGCCGTCCCGACACCCCAGGGGCATGGCGGGTGTGCTGATGCCTGGTGCAGAGAGCGCCCGAGAGCACCCCGCGTTTGGTGAGGAAGCACGCAACTCACATTTCTTGGAAGTCTCCACATCCTCTCCTCGTCTCTGAGCCGCCAAGATGGCCTAAAAACGCGGACAGTTTCCGGTCAAAATCCGACCTGCAGACACCAGCGCCGGCTGCTGTGGGCCGGTCAGTCCGCTGTGGACGTCCAGGGCCTGTGCAGCTCAGGCGGCCTGGCCCACAGCTCGTGTCCTGAAGCTCTGTCCAAGCCAGACAAGCAAGGCCGAGTCGAAGGCCCGAGCTCAGCACACAAAACCCTCCGCCCTCCGGTACCACGAGCTGACGACGGATCTTCCGCAGAAGCAGCAAGGGACACCCAGAGCTGGCCGGCATCAGACTCCCCGGCCACTCCGACTCCTAACACGAGAGCCACGGCCCACGCCCCCGAACGTCGCCAGCAAGACCAACACCCTGTGACCTCCACCCGCCAAATGTTAGGAAGACGTACTTCCCGAATGGAACGCCTCACAGAGGCCACGGGGCCGAGACAGCGGTGGCACGTTCAGAGACACTCCCCACGCGTGTCCACGTGACTGCTAGCTCGTACTGCTAAGTTTCCTCGGGGAAAAAGGACAGTGGGTTTGGTTCTGACCCCGCAAGCGAGCAACTCAGGGCAGGTCAGGGAATGCCAGTTCCTGGGGCTGCAGCTAATCCGGGCCCAGACTGGGCAGGCGGGTATAGGCCCAAGGCCCCCCGAGGGTAGAAACTTAGCAGGGGGGCAATGACCAGCCCCTCCACACTTGCGTTGGACTCACACGTGAACTGTGGGTGGATAAGCCAAGCTAGGAACCTTCTCTCCCTCTCAGAGCCTGTCACCTTCGCTCCAGTGACCCAGAAGCAGAGTCCACCTGTGCCCTGGGTCTCTAGGCCACCTCGGTGCAAGGACAGGGGCTGCCCGCATCCCAAAACAGACCTCAGTGACGCTCCACAGCCAGCCTTGGGCGGGCCAAACACTGGCAGAGGAGATCCTGAGTGCACCAGGACGGCCCCGCCCCCTATCTGCACCCCAGTCCCTCTGGGGGTACTGCCCCTCCCCTGGGCCCCTGCTCACCCCATCCCCGCTGACACTGGCCACAAGCCCACCCCAGCCGCATTCAGAGCCTCCACCACCTGGGGCCTTACCTGGGCCTCCCCACCACGCACGCATCACTGGCCCCAAACACTGCTGGACCCTTCCACAGCCCTCCCGGGCCCAGCGGTCCACGCCCCCACCCCTGTCCTCCCACCACCCCACCGGCCCTCCCACGCTCTGCGCCCAGGCCCTCCCTTCTCCCTGGCCCCTGGCCTTTTCCCCCACCCGACCTCTGTCGCACACCGTCTCCGCCCGGCCATCTTCCCTGCCCCGGTCTCCGGCCTCCCATCCCGAGCGCCATGCCCTCACCCCCGGCCCTGGCTGGTCCCCCCAGCCTAGTCCTGGCCCACGCAGCCCCGGTCCCCAGCCTCGTCCCCGGCCCGGCCCCGCCCCGCCCCCCGCCCGCCCGCACCCGCACCTCCGGCCCCGCGCCCCGGCCCCGCCCCGCGTCCTCCGCCCGGCCGCCCTGAGTCCCGAGGCCCGCCCGGCGCCGCACCTGCTTGGACTTGGCCTGGGCGGCCGTGGGGCCCTTCTTGCGCAGCACCGTCACCGTGTCCCAGTCGCTCTCGGCCATGGCTGGCGGGCAGGTCCGGCGGTCCGTCCGGCGGCTCCGCGGCAGCTGCTGGAGACCCGGCGACGCGACGTCCCCTCGTCGCTCGGCCGCTTCCGGCGCCGGCCGCCGACCCGCCCCCGCCTCCCCATTGGCCGGCGGCCCGGGGGGGGGCGGGCACTTCCCGCGGCTCCCGCCCAATCCGCGCCCGGCTCGTCCCCGCGGCGGGCGGCGGGCGGCGCGCGACGTGGGGCGGGAGACGTCGGGGCCGCGCGCTGTCGGGGCGCCGAGGGGCGGTCGCGGGCGGGCGGGCGGGCGGGCGGTGGGGGAGCGGGGAGCCCCGCAGCGGAGCGGGGGCCTCGGAGGGGGTGCGGGGCGCCGAGGGGAGAGGGGGCATGGGGAGAGGAGAGGAGGAGGGGTGCGGTGCGGCCGCGCAAGGGAGAGGGTGCGGGTGGGAGGGGCCGGTGCTTGGGGGCGCGCCCGGAGGACGGGACCCCCGGAGACGCGGCCGGTGCAGAGGGGGCTGCAGGGGAGCTGCCGTGGACTCGGACGCAGGGTGCGTGTTCTGTGCGGCCGCCCCGCGTGCGCCCTGCAGTCGGGTCCCTGCCGTCGGGTCCGTGCCGCAGCGGGGCTGGGGCGGGCCTCGAGCCTGTGCACTTGGAACGGCTAAAAACACACGTAAAACCGTAAAAATAAGGTTCGTTACAAA